ATGGTCAAGAATTCGATTTCTTGAAGGCTAAAGGAAGCACCAAATCTAAAATTGTTGGTATCAATGCGTAGAGCTCGTCGTGCTCTCCGTTTTGCCTCAAACGGCACTCAAAGTTTTCAAGGATTGAGAAAGTTATCAAAGATTAAAGTTAGCTTCCCAAAGCAAAAGAAAAACGCAAGTAAGAGAGGGAAAAATGAGAAGCAGCGGGAGAGGAAAGATAGAGACCAAAATGTGGTCTCAAGACCTTTAAGTTGGTAGTGATGGGTCCCATGCATTTTATTTTCTTATACCTTTTTCTTTTGCTTTTATTTGTACCACAAACACATTTAAATACACTACCACATAAATACTATATTACTCACATGAATTAGCATGCACAAAATGCAAATGGACCCAACTAAGAAAAAAGACAAGAATGCCCTTACGGCGACAAAATTCCAGAAAAATTTAAAATGGTAAAAAAAATTGGAAACGTCACAGGTATGCAGTATTACCCAACAGTTTGGGCGTTTAGGTAAATGGGTAAACGTCCACCTGTTTCAGTTGGTATCAGAATTAAACCTAATCCTTGTGTAACGACCCAAAATTTCGGCATGATCTCTGTTGAAAAAGTCCTATTACAACCTGCTGCAAAAATATAGGAAATATAGAATGGCCTCACTTGGATTTTAAAATTTATCTACCCTGTCCCAAAGCACTGCAATATAACACATTCCAACATTTCATTCATTCATTCATTATACCCCAACACAGTCAACGTAAAACTTTGGTTGCAAAAACTAACAAAACGGTCTTCTAATCCAAACTAAGCTTGTGGTGGAACATGTCTTGAAAAAAAATGTTTAAGTAATGGGTGAGCATAAAGCTCAGTAGAAGTTGCCTAAGACATTAGTTTTGAACTCCCTTGAGCCTTACAACACATGAGAGAATATAAAATGGAGCAAGGGTCATGCCATGAGGTTCAAATAACATTTCCATTTAACAAGTAATTTTCCTAGTTACAAGCACAATTTTTGAATTAATGTGCATGAAATGATATGAGATGTGATGTACCCGTCCCAAATCTGGTCTATACCGACCCAACCCACACTTTTTAAAATTCGCTAACTGACTTTACCAAGGCGAGATTGATAACTATCCCCGGTTCCAAATCCGGCAATCGTTAAAGGGCCTAGTATCAACTTTTTCATGCCCTACACCAGGCCACGCTCCCTCTAAGTCAAGCTAGCCCCGGATCCGGTTCATTTTAAAAAAGAACTTCCCCTTTTTAATAAGACTTTCCTTTTATAAAACTTCCTTTCCCAAATCGTTTTCAAAATCCTCTTTTTATGCCATGTCATACAATGTAATGTTTTACATGATCTTAACCATCAAGCTCACTAATTTGGTAATAAAAAAATTAACATAACCTTTCTAATCCAACAAGAATGAACAAGATATTCTATAAAAATAAAAAATAAAAAATTCAGTTACGATCATAGCATGTTTAGAAAATTCAATACAATAAGGATACCATTATCTCAAGTAAGGTATATACAAGAAACCTTCTTAAGCATGCTTAACATAAAATTATATACATAATAACATGCCCTCAATTAAATATTGACACAGTCTTCATACAACAAAATAAATCAGGCCCTTTGACACAAAGTTTATATAATCATGATTTCACATTTAAAAACTTTCATAATAACAACAATTTTCATATCAAAATTCACAATTCTCAAGATGAAATAAAAAGAAATAGGAATTTCTCAAATAAAAGGCAAAACTTGATGTATTAGGGAGACCCCTACCTCAATTGGAGATTATGTCAAACAAAGCCCCAAATTTAGCCCAAGAACTCTAGAATTTCGAAATCCCTAGAGTGCACCAAATTAAAATAAGCTCCAATCAAAATGAAGGCCTCAACAAGCTTATCAAATTTGCTTTAAGTGGCAAAATCTAATTCACAAAGTGGAAGAGAGATCAAGCTTAATTTGATGTGGAAAAGAAAAAGAAAAAAAGGAAACCAGTGAGAGAAAGAGAGAGCCTAACGTGAGAGAGTGAAGAGAGAAAATGAAATAAGCCCAAAGTGGCCTTAAGACCACTAATCTAAATAACTTGTGGGTCCCACCACCAAAAAAAAAAAAACTCACATAACATTAATATATATATATATATATATATATATATATATATATATATATATATATATATAACATAAACATTACATTCTCCCCAACTTTAAAAGATTTCGTCCTTGAAATCAAGCCATACCTGAGGGAGAAAACAACTCTGGATACTTGGAGCGAACCTCCTGTTCGAGTTCCCAAGTAGCCTCCTCAACTCCATGATGCCTCCAAAGAACCTTTACAAATTGTATCGTTTTGCTCCTCAACACCTTCTGCAGTGTGTCAAAGATCTGAACTGGTCCTTCCTCGTAGGAAACATCCTCATCAATGTCCACATAAACCCAACTCAAAATGTGAGATGGATCCGGCTGATACTTCCGTAACATCAATACATAGAAAACATTATGGACTCTGTTCATCTCTGATGGTAATGTTAGTCTATAGGCAATCTCTCCTACACGGTCCAAAATTTCAAAAAGTCCAATGAATCATAACGACAACTTGCCACTCTTTCCGAACCTCATCAACCCCTTCCGTAGAGAAACCCGAAGAAAAACGTGGTCTCCCACCTCAAAGGATTGCGGCTGTCTCAGCCTATCTGCATAACTCTTCTGTCGGCTCTGAGCTGTAAGCAATCTCTACCTAATCAGCTTAATCTTTTCGGAAGTCTCGAGTACAATGTCGGGTCCTAAGGCGGCTGTCTCACCTACCTTAGTCTAACAAATAAGAGACCTACAAGGTCAACCATACAACACTTTAAATAGAGCCATCTGAATACTAGCCTGATAACTGTTGTTGTAGGCAAACTCAATAAGTGGAAGGTGATCCTCCCAACTACTTCCCAAATCAAGTACACATGCTCGAAATATATCCTCTAAGATGTGGATAGTACGCTCCGACTGGCCGTCCGTCTGTGGATGGAATGCCATACTGAGGTGCAATGATGAACCAAACGCTGCTTGAAGTTCTTCCCAGAACTTCAAAGTGAACTTGGCATCCCTATCTGAAACAATAGCCACTGGAACTCCGTGAAACCTTACAATCTCTTTTACGTATAATACACCAAGTGCCTCTGCGTTATCTATTCCCTTAATAGGCAAAAAATGAGCCGTCTTGGTCAATCTATCAATAATGACCCATACGGCTTCATTTTCCTTCCGTGACCTTGGAAGACATGTTACAAAATCCATAGCAATTTGCTCCAATTTCCACTGCGCTACAGGCAATGGCTGCAACAAACCAGCGTGTCTTTGATGCTCGGCCTTCACCTGTTGACAAGTAAGGCATCTAGCCACAAACTGTGTAACATTCTTCTTCTTTCTATTCCACCAATACTGATGTCTCAGATTGTGATACATCTTAGTACCACCTAGATGAACTGCAAAGTAGGAAGTATGAAACTCCCGTAAAATGTCCTCACGACAAACTATGGGAACAACTAACAAACCCCTGAATCGTAGACCTCCATCTGCATACAAGGTCCAATCCTTCACTATCTCGCCACTAGAGATCAAAGTGTGAATAGCATTCAAATCCGGATCCTGTCTCTGTGACTCAATCACTCGTCCAACAAGAGTGGGCTGAGCCACGAGGCTAAACAATAATACTGACTCACTGCCAATATCATCATCAAAACAATACAATCCCATCTTTGCCAAATCCTCAAGCATCTTCCATTTTCGAATAACTAAATTAGCCAAAGTCCCACGAGACTTCTGGCTTAAGGCACCAGCTACCATATTTGCCTTGCCCGGATGATATTGCAAATCAAAGTTGTAGTCTTCCAAGAACTCAACCCATCGCCTCTGTTTGTTGTTCAAGTCCAATTGGGAGAAAAGGTACTTGAGACTCTTATGGTCCGAGAATACCTCAAATTTCTCACCATACAATTAGTGTCTCCAACACTTCAAAGCAAACACGACCGCCGCTAATTCCAAGTCATGAGTAGGGTAGTTAAGATCATGAGTCTTCAACTGTCGAGACCCGTAAGCCACTACTTTACCATCCTGCATTAGTACACAACCCAAACCATCACGTGAAGCGTCACACTAAATCACATAATCCAAGCCACGCTTGGGTATCACCAACATTGGAGCCGTAGTCAACCTTATTTTCAACTCTTGAAAGAAAAACTCACAGGCCTCATTTCATGCAAATTTGATCCCCTTCCAGGTCAATCTAGTCATAGGCGTTGCCAAACGGGAAAAATCCTTCACAAATCTGCAATAATAACCCGCTAGGCCAAGGAAACTCCGAATCTTAAAAACAGTCTTGGGTTGCTCTTAATTCAAAACTGCTTCAATTTTTGAAGGATCAACCGAAACCCTACCTTCCGAGACAACATGTTCCAAAAACTTTACCTCTTGTAGCCAAAACTCATACTTTTCATATTTGGCGTACAAACGGTGCTCTCGTAAAATCTGCAACACTATACTTAAGTGGATCTCGTGCTCTTCCCGAGTCCGTGAATACACAAGGATGTCATCCACAAAAACTACCACAAACTGGTCCAAGTAATCGTAGAAGACACGGTTCATTAGGTCCATAAATGCTGCTGGTGCATTTGTCAGTCCAAAGGGCATGGCAAGAAACTCATAATGTCCATACCATGTACGGAACGCTGTCTTTGGGATATCTTCATCCCTAATCCGCAACTGATAGTAGCCTGACCTCAAGTCAATATTTGAAAAAAAACTGGCTCCTCTCAACTGGTCAAACAAATCATCTATCATTGGCAAAGGATACTTATTCTTGATGGTGGCATGATTCAACCTCCGGTAATCAATACACAACCTCAAAGAACCATCTTTCTTCTTAGCAAACAAGACCAGTGTGCCCCGGTGACACACTCAGTCAGATGAAGCCTTTCATCCTCAAATCATTAAGTTACTTTTTCAATTCTTCCAATTCAATCGGTGCCATACGATACAGTGCCATAGAGATTGGCACAGTACCCAGCATCAAATCAATAGCAAACTCTACCTCTCTGTGTAGAGGCAACTCTGTCAAGTCCTCTGGAAACACATCCAGAAAATCACGTACAACTTCTGGATAATCAACCCCATAAAACTCAACATCATCATCGGCGAAAAGGCTAGCCAAGAAGAACTCTTGTTGATCCCGACCTCTAAAGAGAATCACACAATCCCCCACAAAACAGAAGCAATCCCCATCCAGGGTACAAATTGACACTCTACCCCTGAAACAGTCAATAACAGCTCTGAAGGAAGACAACCAGTCCATACCAAGAATGACGTCAAACCCTGTCATCTCGAGAAGGATGAGATTTAACTCAAGCACACGTCCGGCAATCGTGATGGAACAACTCCAAAAAACTCTACTAAGAGCAACTGAACCCTCAACAAGCGTGTCAACATAAAGTGGTCTGTCTAACTGACTGACCTCTAACCCCAATGCCCGTGCAAATGATGAAGTAATGAATGCATAGGAAGCACCAGAATCAAACAACACTCGTGCCCAATAATGGGACATAAGAAATATACCCCTGACCACTGAAGGACTGGAAGATGGATCAGCTGGAGTGACTACAAACACACGACCCTGTGAGAATCACCTGTCTGATAACCCGACTGATGAGTAAGTGCACTGGAAGAAGCTCCTCTGCCCGTTCGAGAACTCTGTGCTGACAAAATTGGCTGAGATGGCTGAGGTGGTGGTGGCGGTCGAAACCCAGACTAGACTGTGGCAGACTGTGTCTGCCTTTGCTGTGAACCTCCACCCCTGCCTGAACCAATGCCTCGCTGTGGACAATTTCTCACCTTGTGGCCCTGCTGACTACACCCAAAACATCGTCCCGACGCCATATAAATATGTAGACACTGTGCCTTGTAATGCCCGGGTTGCTTGCACTTGAAACACACATCTGACCTAAAAGATCCCATAGACATTGAAGTTGTGGGTGCGGATCTAGCTGACTGTTGTCCCCTGAACCCTGACTGTTCATTCTTCTGTTTCTTATGTGATTGACCCTCGGAGATGGCACTCATGCCTCTGTTGTGCTTATAGGACCCCCTGATAGCTTTGCTGTCTTTACTTTCAGCTTCAACCACTAAGGCCTTTCGCACTGCTTTTGCATACTCTATCAGTTCTGAGGTAGCCACAATTGGCCTGATAGTAAGATGAAGGCCATCAACAAACTTCTCTATCTTTCCTTTCTTATCATTAGCAATCCCTGGTGCAAACCTCAAAAAGGACATAAACTTGTTCTCTTACTCAGTGACAGTCATATTTCCCTGCTTCAACCCATCAAACTCTTTCTTTAATTCTCTCCGCTTAAGTGTTGGAAAGTATTTCTCATAGTACAACTTCTTGAATGTGTCATAGGTTATTGTATCCAAATTGTGGATGTGAGAAACGACCAAATCTCAACATCCCCAACAAAATTATAGGTCACTAATGTAATCTTCAACTTGTCCGTCGCCAAATTCATGGCGTTAAGATGCTTCTCCACCCTATCCATGAAATTATCCACAACAAGCGGATCTGGACTGGCCTCAAACAAAGTCGGCATCAATTTCACAAACTTAGCAATGTGATAAAGAGTATTATCTGTCTCACTTGTCTTTTGAGGTGGTGGTGCCGGTGGTGGCACAACTTGTGATGATGATGCCACTACAGTCCAAAATGTATTATAAAAGAATGTCTGTACAGCCAACTTAAGCTGCTCCTCACTTATTTGAGGAGGTGGCTCGACGGTTCTCCTCACTTGTCCCTTTCTTAATGGGACCAAATCCCGCAAAAACACATCTTCCTTAACCTGCTCCTGATCCCTCTCCATGGGATTGCAGTTAGAACTCTCCCCTGGATCCCTTCTCGGTGGCATGACGCTATAAGAAAAAGGAAACAAGTCAAAAACGATGACATTAAAATACGTATGAGAACGAAGTCCTCACACGAATGACTTGACAAGAATGGAAATACATAAACACATTCCATACTTCCAGAATACCCAACTAATGATAAACATGATCATGATAATAATATACATCAACTTTAAACATTTGGTACGTAATCACATAGGCAGTTAAACAATTAAGCAGTTAAACATGCTTTTCAAACAATTAAACACCTTAACACATAAGCATATAAACATACAATTCAACTTCCCCATGCAATCCTAGGTAGGCCTCTACCTGTCATCGTAATGGTATTCGAACTATTGCTTTGATACCAAATTTGTAAAGACCCAAAATTTCGGCATGACCTCTGCTGAAAAAGTCCTACTACAACCTGCTGCAAAAATATAAGAAATATATTTCAATATAACACATTTCAACATTTCATTCATCCATTCATTATACCCCAACACAGTTTATTCCTTGTATATCAACCACATACCATCTAATCCAAATGCATCATAATTACAGTCTCAAAACATGATTTAGAGTCCTAACATATACTGAGACATTTTACAAGAGTTACTCTATGCTCATCATTATAATTACAAGATTTCCAAACACAAAATTATACAAAACATAATTATATCATTACAACGTAAAACTTTGGTTACAAAAACTAACAAAACGGTCTTCTAATCCAAACTAAGCTTGTGGTGGAACGTGTCCTGAAAAAAAATGTTTAAGTAATGGGGTGAGCATAAAGCTCAGTAGAAGTCGCCTAAGACATTAGTTTTGGATTCTCTTGAGCCATACAACACATAAGAGAATAGAAAATAGAGCTGGGGTCATGCCATGTGGTTCAAATAACATTTCCATTTAACAAGTAATTTTCCTAGTCACAAGCACAATTTTTGAATTAATGTGCGTGAAATGATATGAGATGTGATGTACCCGTCTCAAATCTGGTCTATACCGACCCAACCCACACTTTTTTAAAAATCTGCTAACTGACTTTATTGAGGCGAGATTGATAATTATCCCCGGTTCCAAATCCGGCAATCGTTAAAGGGCCTAGTATCAACTTTTTCACGCCCTATACCGGGCCGCGCTCCCTCTAGGACAAGCTAGCCCTGGATCTGGTTCATTTTTAAAAAAAAACTTCTCCTTTTAATAAGACTTTCCTTTTGTAAAACTTCCTTTCCCAAAATTGTTTTCAAAATCCTCTTTTTTTGCCATGTCATGCAATGTAATGTTTTACATGATCCTAACCATCAAGCTCACTAATTTGGTAATAAAAACATTAACATAACCTTTCTAATCCAACAAGAATGAACAAGATATTCTATAAATATAAAAAATCAATTAAGATCATGGCATGTTTAGAAAATTCAAAACAATAAGGACATCATTATCTCAAATAAGGCATATACAAGAAACCTTCTTAAGCATGCTCAACATAAAATTATATACACAATAACATGCCCTCAATTAAACATTGACACAATCTTCATACAACAAAATAATTCAGTCCCTTTGACACAAAGTTTATATAATCATGATTTCACACTTAAAGCCTTTCATAATAACAACAATTTTCATATCTAAATTCATAATTCTCAAGATGAAATAAAAAGAAATAGGAATTTCTCAAATAAAAGGCAAAACTTGATGTATTAGGGAGACCCCTACCTCAATTGGAGATTATGTCAAACAAAGCCTCAAATTCTGCCCAAGAACCCTAGAATTTCGAAATCCCTAGAGTGCACCAAATTGAAATCAGCTCCAATCAAAATGAAGGCCTCAACCATCTTATCAAATTTGCCTTAAGTGGCAAAATCTAATTCACAAAGTGGAAGATAAATCAAGCTTAATTTGATGTGGAAAAGAAAAAGAAAAAAAGGAAACCAGTGAGAGAAAGAGAGATCCTAACGTGAGAGAGTGAAGAGAGAAAATGAAATCAGCCCAAATTGGCCTTAAGGCCACTAATCTAAATAGCTTGTGGGTCCCATCACAAAAAAAATCTCACCTAACATTAATATATATATGTGTGTGTGTATATAATACATAAACATTACACATTGATCCGGTGCCACGCCAAGCGCCCGGTTAGGAAGACGTTCTGGTGAGCCACTCGAATAGGCAGGGTGGTTCTACCGCAATAAGGGCGTTGCGAGTTCGGGTGGGAAAGAATGTTACAAGGGGAGATATTGTCTCACATCAGATCCAGATGAAAAAATGATTGAGTATAAATAGATGGGTATATAATATTATCCAACAATTTGAATTTTTAGGTAAATGGACAAGCGTCCACCTGTTTCAACAGCCATAATGTTGAGACACAATATTAGTAAGATAATCATCTAATCATCTTGGTTTTCTTTATTTATTGTATCAACTGGACAATAATATATGCACACATTGACAACGGTATCAACTATACAGTATAATTATTAACATGGACAGTGTTATATATAAATGGATGGAAAACCATGAGTTTAAAAATACTAAATATACATACACATATATTCCCCAATGTCTGTGTGCAATTGACACCATTAATTCCCAAACTAAATGAACTTTACAGCATATTCCTCTATCAGCAAGCATAGCATCATCAATCAATCTCATTTTGAAACTTGATCAATACTACCAATTTACATCCAAGATAAAATCCCATAATCAATCTTATTTAGTGAACAGGACACCCCTTGGCCTTTATTCCAGGAGCTGTGGGACAAATAGCCAGAGGACAATGATCCTCGGTAGTCAAGCCCCACCACTGGGGACCAAGAATCTCCCTGGATTGCAGAGTGAAGTATAGCATTATGGCCAAGAACGCAACGCCGGCATCCAAACCAGCCGATAAGATATAATTGTGTCTAGCCCACCATGCCCTGTGCTTTTTGTAAACGTACATGTTGAAGAAGATACCCACGATTCCCCACATCACATAGTTGACAGATCTAGCCGGAGGAATTGCAATGGTTGCGCCAAGAAGAATGGGCATGTTGATTTGCTTGATCCATTTCTTGTGGGGGAATTTCTTGGAAAAGAACCATACTGGGACAGGAGCAAGCAAGCCAAGTAGGAAGAAATAGTTCAACTCTGGGTAGACACCACGCGTGGTGAACATCCGTCCTGGACCAATCACTCCCCATATGATTGAAGCATTGTAGAAAACCTCGTCGCCTGGACATGTCCATGGACTTCCGTCTGGCAGCTTTGAAGCATCACAAATGTTTTCCACGGTGGTGAGAAGCCACCATGACGTGCACCAGTACATGGTAGAAGCAACTATTGTTCCAGCTAGCTGATTGACGAACATTATTATTCAGAAACACACAACTAACAGTAATTAGAGATAGCGCGCGCACATAGTAATACTATTTATCACAATGCATGCATGCTTACTTGCATACCTGAACAAGGAACATAGATCTGGGAGGGATCTTCATGTAGTGGCCTAATTTGAAATCCCCAACAAAAGTAAGCGCTTGTGTCATGCTTACATAGCCATACACTTTGAAAGCTACATTTGCAAGTGGCCTCCCCGGATATATATACCCAATAACCAATTCAGTGATCACGTTTAGCCCCGGTTGCTATATTCACGTAAACGTATTAAATTCAGGAAATAAGAACATATATATATATATATATATATATATATATTAAATTCAAGAACCGGAGCTTAATTGTTGTGGGGATGGAGGAGGATTAAAGTACCTGGTTTGTTGTGGCTTGTATTATCCCAATTGGTAATGTGAAGGAGAAAGCCATGGCACAAGCCAGTAAAATTCCCCACCATGGGAGTTGAAACTGTTTCCCAAACCCTTCACAAGTAAATATGGCAAGAGCTATCATTAAAAACAAGATAGTGTGAAACCACCAGTTAGGAACTGTTGGATAGTTCTTCTTCATTATTCTTGTGTGAATGTCACCCTCATCCTTCAACGTCTCTGTCGTTTTTTTCCAGAACTTATAAATTGCTCTGAAATAAAGAAAAGGAAATTGCCAACAAGAACACTTAGCTAGCTCAAGGCTTGTTATCTAATAAGAAAAAGAGATGCATCAACTTACTTGCTTTCTTGGAATGGAATTAAAGTTGAGGACTAATTTATATATATATTCAGATTTTAAATTAATCTGATTCTAATAATACTACTGTAATTACTTCCTAGCTACCAAATACATCATAACCATGTTAAAGGAAGGAACTTACTTTCCATCGAAAAGTGCGACAATATAACCATGTTGAAGGAAGGAACTTACTTTCCATCGAAAAGTGCGACATGTGAGAGAGCAGCTGCCAAAGTGGCAAAGCTGCAGCCATATGAGAAAATAAAGAAGCTACTGATGTAGAGTTTGCTGTAATTATCGTAGCCAGTTATATCAAGTTCAAACGTTTTTGGGTTCAAGACTCGCGAAATATTGTATTTCTGGCCTTCAAAGTCATAAGTTTTAGAGGAAGTTAATGGAAATCGCCTGGCTTCGTAAACATTGAAATAATAAATCAGGGGGACTAGAATATAGGCAAATAAGCTGAACCCAACAAGAATGTTGACGATGGCAAAGCCCGGTGTGGCCAACGGACTTCCAAGGAAGCCAGAAATGGTGGCCCAGTCAAAGCCGACTGCTCCTAAGCCGAGGCCATGGAGGCCTGAACCAAGCTGTTGGGCAGTGATGGAGTTCTTCCAAATCAGACAGACAACGGAGATAGTAGCAATGGAAGGGAAGAAGTAGGCTGGTATAAGGTAATAGGCAAAGCTTCCTACACAAACTATGAGAAAGAATTGTAGCCTTGTATGTCCTCCCTTTGCCCTCTTCTCTTTTTCATGCAATGCCCTGCATTTTATGTACAAATGTATATACATTGTCACTACTCTGGCTAGCTTTCATGAATTGCCCTACATTTTATGTACAAATTTATATGCATTGTCACTACTCTAGCTAGCTTTCGTACAATGCCCTGCATTTTATGTACAAATATATATACATTGTCACTACTCTAGCCAGCTAGTTAGAGAGAGAGAGAGAGAGAGGTGATACCTGAATAGAGACACTTGGACCAAGTTGGAAGGCCACCACATATAGGGGGAGTCCACTAGGTATTTTCTAAACAAACCAGCCCAACCATACCCAAGCATCTGATTTGTATCAAAAATAGCATAGGTAAGATGTTTTTTTAGAACAATATACATCCTCATAGCACAGGGTCTAAAATGTCTCCTTTTTTTAGGGAGAGATTGATTAAAATTAAAGCTTAATTGGAGAGCGAAATTAAATTAATTATAAATTAGTAACTAGGCTAGTTGAAGAAGCTGTTTGGGATATATAGTACCATATATAACAAATTAATAGAAACACAAAATTAATTCCACCTACCTGAGTCGTTTGGGATAGTAACAAGGCTGAGAAAGGTGTGATATTCATATGGTAAAAAGCCATGACAATGGTAATGATATTTACAGCATAAACACCATTGGCTCCACAGTTGGCAAAAATGGTGATCAAGACATGTTCTTTCATGTTGAATGGCCCCGGATTCAACGAAAATTTCCATTTTGTAAATGGCATTGTTATAGACTTGGTTGGAAGTGTTTTAGCCATCATCATCCCCAGTGGGAGAACCACAATCTGTGCTGAAACTGAACTAATGGATAAAGGGTTCTGTCGATACCCGAAAAACTGGTTGAGGAAGGCAAGAATGCAGCAGGAGATGAGACCAAGAACCCATGTTCGGAATGTTAGAGCCTGCTGTGATGGGTCGTCGGTAATTGGCACCGTCAGCCTTACTTCCTCAATCGGATTGTCATTTATTTCTTCCTGTCCTGCTTTATCTGTACATATATATACCACGGAGATAAAATTACATATGCTAAGTACAAGAAGAAAACGAGACTAGCCCAGAAAATTAGGAGTTTTGATTTATTTTCTCAGGAGTCTTCTTTATCATTCAATAACACAATCATTCGTGGAGAACTATGAAAGATGGACCTTTTCCTACCTTAGTTCTCATAAAAACAGTTTTTGGAAACTATCAATCAAACAAATTTGTTTTGTGCGGTTCTTTCTTCTTCTTATAAATTCTCACACTCATTTTGCTCCTCAAACCCTCACCGTCCACTCTAGAAAGTCCGGCTACATTTTGCCCCCACACCCTTATTGCAGCTATTTTTCATCCCCCCAAACTTCAAAATGTCCAGTACAATCATGGTGTCCCAAAAACTTCACATCCACCCTAGAGCTAAAATTGTGTCACTCTTAATCATTTTTAATCGATTTCTGTCATCCAATTGTGAAATTGCCATGAGTTTGGTCCCGATTGAAATTAATGAGGGGTGCAAATGAACCGAGCCGAGCCTAGGGGTTGCCGATCACCAAATCAACAAATCACCATGGTCTATTTCCGATCTCCATCTCCGGCGAGATAGAAAAAGAAGAAATACAGAATAATATTCAAGATGAAATCAAAATTGCAAGGTTATCCGACACCTTTACAGATATGTAGCACACTTGCACTGCTCGACGTTAAGATCCATTAGAGAGAGAGGTTGTGTTGTATGCGGAGGGATCTGTAAGAGAGAGCTCTGTGACGATTGTGGAAGGATGCCGCTGTACACGACGAACTCAGGTTTCTTCCCTCTATATCTCTTAGCTTGAACAAACCAATGGTGGAATGAATAAAAAGTTGAAGGTTGAGATGAAATATAATTTGGATGATGGGCAATTAATTACGTCTTTGGTTATTATTAGAGAAAACTTAAGACTCTTGCTAAACTTCATGGTTTATAGAACTTAAATATAAATTTGTTTATAATGCTAAACGAGTATTATATTAAGCAAATATAAATTATAATTTTATTTTTTTACTTTATTTTATATTTAATAATATTAAATATATATTAAGCAAATTCTAATTTAATCTATTTCAATTACTAAATATTCTTTTATATTATACTTATCTGAAAAAATTTATATTTCAATAATAATTTTAATCTTAAATTTCATAGTAAGAAGGTGAATCTTGTTTTTATCCGCGTAAGAGGAAAGAAAAAAAAAATACCATAATTAAAATTTTGTTATATTATTTACTTTTGTTAGATTTGTATTATAATTACGAAAAGACTCTACAAAATTCCTCTCGCACCACCCACTCAATTTAATAAACGGTGTTCGAGATGGAGATAGTTATTCTAAATGGTGATGAGATGAAAATGCGTTATCTAACTCAACTGCTCCCATTGCCATCTCTAATTACAACAACAGTACCATTTGGGCTCTAAATAAAAAATGGTAATAAATGAATCTTTAAGTTAAGAAACATGTTCACGAACATAAGGAGTCGGATTCAAGTTGTTCAAACTCAGCCCAACTCATTTACTAAACGAGTTTAAAAATCGAGCCCCAGCCTGACTTGTTTACTAAATAAACAAGTCCAAGTCATCTATTTTTTTTTAAATTGCATAATAACAGAGAATGGAGACAAAATTTGTTCAATGGAATTTGATGGACCACCAGTATGTTCTTTTTTCTCTTTTCGTACGCTTTTTTTTTATATTTTAAATTCACTATTAAGACATTAACTATCATGAATAGGGACTAGGGAGTAGGGACTCAAAAATAAGGTTTTTTTAAAAAAAATAATCATCTAGTTCCTGCATGCATGCGGATCTGCAGAGGAGGTACTAGATGAATTTTATTTTATTTTATTTTATTTTTAAAAAAAAAAACATGCGTGCATTCACCTTTCAAATTCATTAATCTTAAGAAAGAAGAAGAAGAACCGAAAAATAGAAGAGGATAACCATCTATTTCCTAAGATCCATGAGTTATTTTCTTTTAGTAATCATTCATCACATCCAAAATGTTTGATTTGAGAGAGAGACTTGGACTTACCGGTTAAGTCGACATCGGAATGAAGATTCTCCGGGTGGTCAGAATGAGGCACTGCATCCCCATTGTGACCTGCCATTCTACTTCCTTGACAGAATTAGTGAGAATCCCTCAAATGAGATTCAAAGGCTAATGTATTATATATATATATATATAAAGTTCCTTAATGCCGTCCCTTATCGCAAATGGGCTATCTTTCTGCCTCAATCTGCGGTTCACCACCATGCATGAATGCATCTAAATTTAGCAATGCAGTAATCAAAGAACCACCTATCTTTATACTATTTGTTTGTTCATATTGATTTCAAGAAGACCATGAACTTGGTTTTTGTATATAAGATGGAGAGAGAGCGGGTTAACTCGATTACTTATTTTAGGGTACTTTGGTCATTTGACAGAAAGACTAAATAGCTTGGAGTACCCTGTTCATTGGACATCCATAATATTGAGGCACAAAACTAGTTAGAAAATCATCTCATCTGAATTGGTTTTCTTTATATCACCTTTTATTGTTGATTTCATCAATTGCATCAACCGTGACAATATATACACACATTGAGGACAGTATTAATGGATCGAATCTTTTATCATTGGTAAGTATTATTAGTATATGAAGAACTTGATACTATACAGAATCATTATCAGTTTAAAAACACGTAATATACACGCATTCCACCCCATTAAAATTAATTTGCAAACTAAATGAACTTTAAAGCATGCTTATCCATCCTCTCCATATGAATTCCTACACCATCAATCCTGATCAGCAAGCATAGCCTTCATCAATCAACCACAGATTGAAATTTGATAAACACTTGCCGCCGCCTTTATCATTAATATATTCCATGAACAAATTATTTAGTGAACAGGACATCCTTTAGCCACTATTCCAGGAGCTGTGGGGCAAGTAGCCAGTGGACAATGATCCTCCGTACTTAAACCCCACCAATGGGGACCAAGAATCTCCTTGGATTGCAGAGTGAAGTATAGGAGTATGGCCAAGAATGCAACACCGGCATCCAAACCAGCCGATAGGATATAATTGTGCCTAGCCCACCATGACCTGTGCTTCTTGTAAACGTAGAAGTTGAAATAGATACCAATAGCTCCCCACATCAAATAGTTGACAGATCTAGCAGGTGGAATTTGCATCACTCCACCAAGAAGAATGGGCATGTTGATTTGCTTTATCCATTTCTTTTTGGGGAATTTCTTGGAAAGGAACCATACTGGGAAAGGAGCAAGCAAGCCAACTAGGAAGAAATAGTTCAACTCCGGGTAGACACCATACTTGGTGAACATCCGGCCTGGACCAATCACTCCCCATATGATTGAAGCATGGTAGAACACCTCGTCACCGGGACATGTCCATGGACTTCCTTCTGGCAGCTTTGAAGCATCACAAATGTTCTCCACGGTGGTGAGAAGCCACCATGCCGTGCACCAGTACATGGTAGAAGAAACTAGTGTTCCGACTAACTGATCAACATTATTCAAAACGCACACAACTAACATTACTTAATTAGCACATATATATAAACACTAATTAATAGTACTTACTACTACTATCACCATGCATGATTACTTCTCGCATACCTGAACAATGAACATAGATCTGGGAGGGATCTTCATGTAGTGACCTAATTTGAAATCCCCAACAAAATTAAGTGCTTGTGTCATGCTTATATAGCCATAGGTCTTGAAAGCTACATTTGCTAGTGGCTTCCCCGGATATATATACCCGATAACCAATTCCGTGATCACGTTTAGTCCCGGTTGCTATACATTCACGTACACGTATTAAATTCAGGAAATGAGCATATATATATCTGTATAATACTCTGTATATTAAAATTGATTAAAACTGTGTGTGTGTGTGTGTGGAGGAGGATTGATGTACCTGGTTTGTTGTGGCTGTTATTATCCCAATTGGTAATGTGAAAATGAAAGCCATGGCACAAGCTAGTAGAATTCCCCACCATGGGAGTTGAAACGTTTTCCCAAAACCTTCACAAGTAAATATGGCAAGAACTACCATTAAAGCCAAGATAGTGTGAAACCACCATTGAGGAACTGTTGCATAGTTCTTCTTCATTATTCTTGTGTGAACATCACCCTCAGTCTTCAAACTCTCTGTGGTTTTTTTCCAGAACTGATAAATTGTTCTGAAAAAGAAAAAGAAAAATAAAAGGAAATTGCCAATAAGAACAATTAGCTAAGGCTTGATATATATTAAAGAAAAAGAAATACATGAACAATTAGTTATAACTGTTTTTATAACAATGCATGTTTAAGGAACTTACTTTCCATGGAAAAGTGCAACATGTGAGAGAGCAGCTGTCAAAGTTGCAAAGCTCAACCCATATGAGAAAACAAAGAACATACTGATATAGAGTTTGCTGTAATTCTCGTACCCAGCAACATCAATATCAAAGGTTTTTTTGTTCAAGACTCTTGTAATATTGTATTTTTTGCCTTCAAAGTCGTAAGTTTTAGAGGAAATCATTGGAAATCGCTTGGCATCGTATACATTGTTGAAATAACACAGTGGGACTATAACATAGGCAAACAAGAAGAAGCCAACAAGAATGTTGATGATGGCAAAGCCGGGTGAGGCCAACGGACTTCCCAGGAAGCCAGAAACAGTGGACCAGTCAAGGCCGAATGCCCCAATGCCTAGGCCATGGAGGCCTGATCCAAGCTGTTGGGCAAGGATGGACTTGTTCCAAATCAAACAGACAGCTGAGACAGAAGCAATGGACGGGAATAAGTAGGCTGGTACAAGGTAATAGGAAAAACTTCCTACAAAAACTATGAGAAAGAATTGTAGCCTAGTAAATCCTCCCTTGGGCCTCTTCTCCTTTTCATGTAATGCCCTGTATTTAAAAAAACAAAACTTGTCACTCTAGTTGTTGATGTGTGTATCAGTGTGCGTATATTATATATAGAGAGAGGGTCCCCATGTCTTCAATTGATGTTTTTGATCAACACACTGAGACTTTGACACTCTATACAAATATGTACGTTTTGATTATACCTGAACAGAGAAACTTGGACCAGGTTGGAAGGCCACCACATATAAGCAGAGTCCACCAGGTATTTTCTAAAGATACCGGCCCAGCCATACCCAAGCATCTGAATTGTATTAAGAACAGCGTATGTAAGATGTTTGTTTAGAAAACTATTGATCAAACCCAAATCTAATGAGCCCACAAGTGTCAAATGAGTCTTGGTTAGAGGGAGGCCTCGTTCAAGATCCGTATAAAAGATGGAGTAAACAAGACTAATTCGATCATATTATTGGTTAATTTGAGAAATAAATGAACTAGGCTTAGATAATTCATCAACTAAGGAGTAAAATTATATTAATTATTGGGATAGTAACATATATAACAAATGAATAGAGAGAAATGCAGCAGAATTAATGAATAGTAAGTACCTGAGTGGTTTGGGATAGCAACAAGGCTGATAAAGGACTGATTTGCATGTGGTAAAAAGCCATGACAATGGCAATGATATTTACAGCATAAACAGCGTTGGCTCCACAATTGGCAAAAATGGTGATTAAGACATGTTCTTTAACGTTGAATGGCCCCGGATTCATGGAGCATTTCCATTTTGTAAATGGCACGGTTATAGACTTGGTTGGAAGTGTTTTAGCCATCATCACCCCTAGTGGGAGAACCACAATCTGTGCTGAAACTGAACTAACTGATAAGGGGTTCTGTCGAAACCCAAAAAACTGGTTGAGGAAGGCAAGAACGCAGCAGGACATGATACCAAGAACCCATGTTCGGAATGTTAGAGCCGGCAGTGATGGGTCGTCGGTAATTGGCACCGTCAGCCTAACTTGGTCGATCGGATTATCATCAATATCCTCCCCTCCCGCTTTACCGGTAAGTACACCAAATTAACAAATTTTTACAATTTGCATAGAAAAATTAGGACGCATTCAGTTTTGTATAACAAGTTTTTTCAAGAATTAACACATATTTTATGGACTGAGTTTTCAAAAAGTATCAATCAAACAAATTTTTATACATTTTTTAACTTTCAATTATGAAAGACAATAACCGAACCAAAGCAAGAAACATTCATATATGAAAAAGATTAATAAATTTTCTTGAAGCTTAATATATATTTTTATTAGGGAAAAGCAAACTAAACACTCCTCAACCATTTAACGTTGCAATTAAACTCTCAAATTTGCAATAATGCTCACATTGCAACTTCGAGATCCAAGGCCGTTTAATTTTGCCAATATGTCAACCTAAACCACATGAAATATTTAATTGAGTTAATAGCCAAAATAGTATTGTTATACCCCTTTTACCCTTACACCTTTCTTCTCACAAATTAATTCAATCTTTTTGACCTTGTGGTTGAATTATGAACCATGAGTCCGCCTCTACAGAGTAATAGTGTTATCAGAGATCGAATCAGTGATGGTCTGCGCTCAGACTATCAGAAAATTTTCTCAGTGAATCATCATCCTCATTTGTAACATATCTATTTCAAATGTCAGATATTTCAACTACATTGAATAACATTTTTTGAATTGGTCAATGCCAATGCATTCAACGGATCTCAGCTCACACACGTATAGAATACAACATCCGATTTAAATTTTTTTCTTTACTGTTCTTTAGGTCAGTGAAGAATGCCTTAGATTCACTGATCAATAATACCTTTGATGTAGTGAATGGGATTGCAAAATAATTCTCACACCGAATTTCCTAACCATGTGTTAGGCATAAGAGTTTCTATGCATTTGATGTAGTGAATGGAATTGCAAAAATACTTGTTCTATCACGATGCACTTCTAAATTACTAACTTGCATTCTCGTCCGGATCATTCGTCACATTCAAAATATTAAGTTCCATGGAAGACGAGCAACGACAAACTTAACGTTTGAGGGCTAAAAATGTCATTTCAGGTTTTTATTTTTTTATTATTTTTTAAAAAATTTCTTTCTCTAACCTGCTATTTGTTAGGCCCATTTGTTAGGCTTGAGAGTTTCTATCCACTACTAGTGAATGGGACTACAAAATCATTTGTTCTATCCGGATGCACTTCTAAATTTCTAATTTAACTTGCATTCTCTTTCCAAAGAGATGCTATATATATATATATATATATATTCACCACTAAAGCATTAATTAACATTCTAAGTTTTGATTAATGTCATTCAGCACATCCAAAAGATTTGAGAGAGAGAGGGGTTTACCGGATAAGTCGTCGTAGTGAATCTTCTTGGGGAAGTCATAATGAGGCACTGCATCCTCATTGTGACCTGCCATTCCCCTTCCTCAACAGAATTACTGAGAATCCCTGAAATGAGATTCAAAGGCGAATGTATGTATATTATAAATATATAAAGTTTCTTACTGCCGTCACTTTTTTTTTTTTTTTCACAAATGGGCTATCTTTTTGCCTCAATCTGCGTTTCACCACCCCTGCATGAATGCATCTAATTTTAGCAATGCTATAGCCTATATGTTGGTTCACCACCTATCTTCGTACTATATGTTGTCTCAAATTGACTTGAGCAAGACCATGAATTTGTTTTTTTTTCATATACAGATAGAGACACAGAGATGTTAACTTACTTGATTACTTATTTTAGGCTACTCTGGTCCTTGAACAGCAGACTAAATTGATTGGAGTACTCTTCAATTTAGGGAAGCATTAGGTTAGAAGTGATGAATATGCTGTATTGCATCCATGAAATAGAACTCTACAAAGAGGTATGTGTACTAGGCATGAAATTCTAGGGTACAAAAAAAGTACAGCCATGAATTCAACATATACAGTATAATCTAACCACATCGATGGTCATTTTGTTAAAAAAAAAAAAAGGTTAATTACACTAACCTCCCTGTGATTTGTCATAATTACAGAAATATTTTCTATAGTTTGAAAAATTACTTGAACCTACCCTAAAAAAAATTAACCTACACAGACCTCCCTTTTGTGACATTTAACACTAGTCAATGACGAATTTTGTTGAAGTCGTGTACTGAATAAAATAAAATTCCCATATTACCCTTCGTTGAAGTTAAAAACATTTTGAACCTTAAAAAGTAACAAGAATTAACAAAATACTCTATCCCTACCAAATAGCAAAAGATTACACCAACAGCTAGAAATTTTATTATTATTATTATTATTTGTGTAGATGGTGGGGGTGGTGGCGGCGACTGTACTACCCCAACAGTTTGAGAATATATATATATATTGTACACTATTTTATATATGTGTGTGTGTGTGCACACACACACACATTAAGGTACTTCAGTCGTTTATCATATAAAGTTGAAAGCATTTCAGTAAATTGGACATGTTCGTTAGTATAATTGATGGTTCGTCACAAAAGGGAGGTTTGTGTAATTTAGTTTTATTTTTAGGAGAGGTCTAAATAATTTTTCCAATCATATGAGAGTTTACTGTAATTATAACAAATCATATGTGAAGTCCGTGAAATTAACCCAAAAAAAAGTTACTTGTGACCCTAAATGAATTTGTTTATTCTTTCTTTTACAAATTTAAATCTATTATTGTGATTCTTGACACATATTAGTATTCATGTATATGCACACCAAAGGCTCTAACGTCATATTAAAAAAAAAAAAAAAAAAAATAGAATAAATAAAAGCTCCAACCCTTCCTTACATTACCTATTTATGGCTAACCTTATTTATTGGCTGTCAACTGTTTGTTTGCTTTTTTTTTTTTTTTTTTTTTTTCACATCATTTATAGACATCCTTCTTTTTTCTTTTATTTTTTTCTTCTCACATCATTTATAGATCAGGCATGCCAAGTGGGAATACACCTTAAGTGTGTTAAAAAAAAAAAAAAAAAAAATGAAGAATACACCTTAAGTGAAACATTTTGAATTTAGTTGTATCCTTTTAATTAGTAATATGTGTCGATCCAACTTTGTCACTTAATTCCATAAACTTATGGAATCAATTAGAGACAAGAAAAACAGATAATTTGCTCTCTCTCTCATTTTAAAATTTATCTAAATGTAGCGTGGTCAGTGACGGACCCAAAAAATTTGGTGAGGGGGGGCGAATTTTTAATTTGTGGGTACAAAATTATATGATGGGTTCATTTTTGTAATTTTAATAGGGTTTCTTTTCATAAATTTTTAAAAAATTTAAGTATAAAATGAAAAAAAAAAAATTCAGTGGGACAAATTATAATTATAGTGGGGCATCTTCATAAATTATCAAAATTTGAAGTATAAAATGCTAAAAAAAAAAGAATCCAGTGGGGGCGAATTGTAATTTTAGGGGGGCATTTTCATAAATTTTAAAAACATTAAGGTATAAAATAAAAATATTAAAAATTCAGGGGGGGCAGATGCCCCCCCTAGTCCCCTGCTGGGTCCATCCTTGAGCGTGGTTGCAATTGCATGAAATTGCACTTGTGAACATAAAAATAAAATTAATTTAATCAAGGTTATACAACTCGTTAGAACTTTGTTTTCAAACTTCGTATTATTGGGCCAAAAGGTGGGTACCCTGTATCACCTGCCTCATTGCTGCACATAATTGAGAAGCTTTTATTATCAAGATGGAAGACCTTATGGTTGGCCTTCCAGTCAATTTTTTTGTATTATATATATATATATATATCTCATTCGCTTTAGGGTATGATAGGATTAATATTCCTAATTTCGCTCTCTGTTTGTCTATCTTTGGATGTTTAGGGTCATATGATATCTATGGAATTCCAATGTTAGGCAGATTAGGTCCTTAGGGTTACATGTTCTGTGTGTGTGTGTGTGTGTGTGTGTGTGTGTGTGTATCTCATTCGCTTTAGGGTATGTTAGGATTAATATTCCTAATTTCGCTCTGTGTTTGTCTATCTTTGGATGTTTAGGGCCATATGATATCTATGGAATTCCAATATTAGGCAGACTAGGTCCTTAGGGTTACATGTTCTGTGGTCAAAGCTCTAGACATTTAATCAACTATCAGAAGTTGGAAATATGTCCATCATATTAATGAGTGATTCACATGATATCTGTGTTTTTGAAGCAACTCACCGCTAAAGCTTTTCATTTTTAGGTGTGGCAAGGCGGGATTGTAGGTCTATGGTATTCAGTGCATTGTTTGTTGGGTTTTGTAAACATTCTAAAACAGAATACTACAATTAATACTGTTTTCTGGATATGACTGGCCATTACTTCACTCCAACCCATACCGATCCGTTGGAATTAACGAGGTTTATGTGGTCACACTGTGACCTCTAATTATTTGGCCACTATGTATAATGACTTCTAAATAAATGAGTTTGATAAGGCGCTCGTACAGTATTGTACTGTATTCAACAATTACGCATTGAGAATTCAGACTCCTAAATAAATAATTTTCCATAACCTTTAAAAATTTAGGCACATCTAACATTCTGGATTTGTGACTTTTGACTTCCCAATAATTTGAAGAGCTTGAAAATTTTGCAATGAGGATCAAAATTAATTTGTGACTAGGCATGTTATGTTGGGTTGTTGGTAACAATTTTCACTTTTGTTAAGATGATACTAATAATTTTTTTCCTTAAATTAAAATAATCAAATACGAGAAAAATGAATGCGGTTACAAGAATCAGATCATTTTCATTGTAATTCAAACTCTTGTGAATCACTCATTCATCTAGTCCCATAGTTCGTTGTATTGGCCTATACGCGACATATTATCGGATTTGTAATACTTTTTCAAGAGGCTGATATCGTTACATACCTAAATGAATCGATCAGTTTATATTGATATTTGTCTGAATTCGTTACACCGCGACCGCAATCGATACCAATCATAATCTAGCCCAAACTCAAAAAGAAGCACATCCATTGTGCATTTGTTTGTTTATTTGTGCCAATAATTCACTTCACACTGGCCATGTTTGTGTTAACATGAATTCAAGTATATATTGGGAGACCAACATTAGATCTATTTTCATGTAATTTAAAACCTTAATGCTATATTTGGTATACAGGAATGAAATGAAATGTCTATTCCAACCATTCTTTTGTTTGGTACGCAATTTAAAGTGGAAATAACCATTCCATTGGAATGAAAATCCATTCCACAACTAAACCTATGAAATGGCCATTTCATTCTCAAGTAATTTTTTTTTTTATTTATTTTTTAAATCAACGTCCTCAGAAAATCCTCATGTTCCAAGTTAAAAAACCACCATTACCTTCCACCACAACCACCTCCGCCTTTTACCACCACCACCACCACCGCTTCCAACACTACCATAACCTTCCACTAATACCACCGCCACTGACTTTTACCACCGTCCACTGTTTTCCACCACTACCACCACCGACACCGCCTTCCTTTACCGCAATCATCACCGCTATCGTCTTTCACCACCGCTACCACTTTCCGCCACCGCCTTTCACCACAACCACCACCTTTCACTGCCATCACCTCCGCCTTTCACCACCACCACTGACAACGCCTTTCACCACCATCGCCACCTCCCTCCACCATCTTCCACCACAATCGCCGCCGTCGCCACTACTTTCCAGCACCACCACCACCACCGTCATCGCCTACCACCACTCCACCACCATCCACCTCCACTGCCTTCCACCACCACCATCACCGCCTTCCACCACCGCCACCACTATTGCCGCTGCCACCTCCATTGCCTTCCACCACCATCATCATTGCCTTTCACCACTGTTTTCCACCACCACTACCACAGTCACCTCCACTGGCTTCCACCATTGCCACCTACACCACTATCTCCTTCCACAACCACCACCACCACACTACTACCACCACTTTCCACCAACACCACTGCCGCATTCCACCAACACTGCCGCCGCTGCCTTCCACCATTGCCATCATTGTTGCCTTCCACCATTGCCACCACCGTCGCCTTCCAATACCACCACTTACCCCATTACCGCTTTCCACCTCCACCACCATCGTCACCACCGCCATTGCCAGCATTTATTTTTAAAAAATTATAGAAAAATGTCATTTTGTTAATTAAATTTATTTGTTTACTAAGAGGAGTATTTGGAGAACTCAATTTGAAATTTATTCCATTATAAATTTTAAATTGATCCAACTAAATACTAAAGTAGTTATTATCATTCCATTCTTACAAATTTCATATTTACAACCAAAGAATAGAATGAGAATGACTATTTCATTTCATTCCCATTCTCAATAATTCAATAGTCAAGTTCTTGTTCACATTGATTCAAGTATAAATCCGATCATAACTGTTAGATCTATATTTTTTTCTTAACAAAAAGACCTGGAACGTTCACATTTTAAGAAGACTTGAATAATGTTGTACTTTGAAAGTAAAAAAATACTATCTCTGTCCTAAAAAAGATGTCATGTTTAGGGAATCGTGACTTATACCACGGTTTCCCAAACATGACATCTTTTTTGAGATAGAGGAGTATCAGTGAATTGCTAACATTTGAATTGCTTGATGGTATGAAAATGTTTGCTTCCTCTGATAAAATCATCAACTTGCTAAATATTACGGAGTATTTAAAACCATTGCCCACATATAGCTGCCCCCTGCTGCCCACTATATATATATTTTTTATACATATATTTGTAAAAATTGATTAAATGCCCCCCCTAAAATTATTAAAATGGCTCCTCTGCCTCTGAATCTACTATATATATATATATTATTTTATGCATATAATTTGTAAATATTTATAAAAGACCCTCATAAAATTTATAAATTATCCAGATAAAATTATCTATTTCTAAAAACGTCTTTAATTCTTTATTCTTTGTCCATCTTATTCTTCAAATTTCCTCTTGTCATCTTCAAAAACTTTGCATTCTCTTCTTACAATTAAAACCTATTTTTTCCTTCAAAATTCTCTCATATTTTTTTCTTTTTATTTCATTTTCTTCTTAAAAAATTCCTTTTTCTTCTTAAAATTTTCTTTTTTCTTGCACTTATGCATAATTTATATACAATAATATTTCCACCTCCACTACCTTCCACCACCACCGTCACCGCCTTCCACCACCGCCACCACTACCGCTGCCGCCGCCACCACCTCCACTGCCTTCCACCATCATCATTACTGCCTTTCACCACTGTCTTCCACCACCACTACCACAGTCACCTCCATTGGCTTCCACCACTACTACCTACACCACTATTTCCTTCCACCACCACCACCACCACTCTACTACCACCACTTTCCACCAACACCATTGTCGCATTCCACCATTGCCATCATCATTGCCTTCCACCATTGCCATCGTTACCGTCTTCCAACACCACCACTTACACCATTACCGCTTTCCACCTCCACCACCATTGTCACCACCGCCATTGTCACCATTTATTTTTAAAAAATTATAGAAAAATATCATTTTGTTAATTAAATTTATTTGTTACTAAGAGGAATATTTTGAAGAACTCAATTTGAAATTTATTCCATTATAAATTTTAAATTGATCCAACCAAATACTAAAGTAGTTATTATCATTCTATTCTTACACATTTCATATTTACAACCAAAGAATAGAATGAGAATAACTATTTTATTCCATTCCCATTCTCAATAATTCTATAGTCAAGTTCTTGTTCACATTGATTCAAGTATAAATCCGATCATAACTGTTAGATCTATATATATTTTTTTTCAAAAATACCTGGAATGCTCACATTTTAAGAAGACTTGAATAGTATTGTACTTTGAAAGTAAAAAAGTATTATCTCTGTCCCAAAAAAGATGTCATGTTTAGGGAGTCGTGAATTGCTAACATTTGAATTGCTTGATGGTACGAAGATGTTTGCTTCCTCTGATAAAATCATCAACTTGTTAAATATTACGGAGTATTTAGAACCATTGCCCACATATAACTGCCCCCTGCTGCCCCAATATATATATATCTTTTATACATATATTTGTAAAAATTGATAAAATATCCCTCCTAAAATTATTAAAATGGCTCCCTGCCCCTTAACCAAATTATTGGCTCCTCCCCTGTATGTATAATGATTATGGAAAAAAAGATACACAACATGGCAAGCTGTTTTGGGACCACAAATTAGGGGCCATGAAGGACACAATAGGTCATTTCCAAGTAGTTGAAGCCCTAAATCGGAAGCTTAGAAGGTCCAGGCATGACAGACAGGTTGGAGGTCCATGTATTGATTCAGACCCTTGTGTTTGGGACAAAATTCAATGAAATAATTGAACGTGAAAAGCTTTACTTTAAGCTTTGACCCACCCCCATATTCTCTCAATCGATGGTATAGCTCGCAGACACACAACTCTTTCTATCACTCAAAGCTCCTCCATTTTTTTCTCTCCCCGCACAATTTAGGAGGAGGGTCACTCTTTATCTCTGTCTACAGTAGTGCTCTTTTTTTTCCCCCCTCACACTGCTAAAGCAAAACCCTAAAGTTCTGATCTTTGTATCTTCAGGTACTCTTTTTGGGCTTCTTTACTTTAATACTTTTGAACTGGTCCTGCTATATATGCTTGGTGCATTTGCTGTTCTACGCCTCTGTTTTGTTTTTTAGCTTATGTGTCTTTGTGGGGTTTTGGATCCTTTGGTAGGGTTTCCATAGAAAGAGGTGGGTCTGCGCTCAAGATCAAGATCTGTGTGCTTTTCATCAACCCTTTTTCTTTTTTATCTATTGTTTATCTTTGTGGGTTTGGTCTTATCCTTTTCTATATGTGGTTTTTTATTGTTACGAAGGGCTGCTGAGAAACTACATTTTGTGTGATATCATTGATTCATTCTTGTGATCCATACATTTCTAGAGCTTGACAATTTCATAGAAGGATTTATCTTTAATCTAGGGAAGGATTTGCATTTTGAGGTAGACGACTCTGAATCTTGTACTTTCATGATGAAATAATTTCTGGTTGGTATATGATTGATTTCTGGGAAGTAATATTTAATTTGGGTTTGCATGCTACTCTGAGCTTACATCTCCTATTTTGCTTTTTCTTAATTGTGTTTTAAAATTTATCATAGTTTGTTAATTAATTGTTAATTTTTTGATTCGTTGAACCAGAGGTTTCCATGCTTTCGTCTCTAGGTTTATTTGATGTATTTTAGATCCATTTGGTTCCTATATGAATCTGTCTTGATCTTGCTGATGGCTGGATCCGTTAGATTTGATGGTGAAACACAATGCACCCCCACACCCCCCCCCCCCCCCCCCCTCAAGACCACCATTTTTACTTAAATTTTGTTACTCGATTTTGATAGCCTATTTAAATTGGGGGTTTAAAACAACACAACCTCTGTTGATACTTTCTATATAAATCTTAATGCGGAACGAGCTTGGTTTTTTGGTAAATTTTATCTTCTGTTTTATTGTAGATACCCCTGTTGGAATTGAAGATGAAAAAATTTGGAACTGAGGATGGAGAAGTGGTGAACCTGGTGGCCGAGTAATGGGTTTGTTCAGTTGGATTAATTTAACGAGCCTGTATTTATTTCAATGGCCTCAAAATCTGGTGTCAAAACTTTGTCAGAAAAGAACAGAAAAACAATTGGCAATCGAACATTAGAAGTTAGTCCCCGGACGCCTTCACCTTTTCAGGTCCAGAAAACAAGTAAATCAGAGCCTGTTACACCTAAAGATCTGCCTAAAAATGTGCAACAAGCTGTCTCTAAGCAGGATACTGTAGATGGGATAGTGGACAAGAAATCTCATAATTCCCAGCAAAAGAGGTCTTCTAATCCTTCAGATGATAAATTAAATTTATCTTTGGCTAATTTGCAAGTACCAACAGGTGTAAGGTCTACAGTAAGTGATACTAGGGGCTCACTTGACAGTGGAACTAATCAGGAAAAGAGTACATCTGACTGTGGAACTGTGAACGATAACTCAGCTTCAGCTAAGGTTAGTGATGGGACAAGCAGCCTTGCAAAGACTAGTGGAAGTGCCAAAATTAGTGGTCGAGCTGATTTTGTTGAGAGTGGTAAGAGCAGCATATATAGAGGTAGTACAGGCAGTGACATAAGTGATGAAAGTACTTGTAGTAGCTTAAGTAGCAGTATTAGCAAACCTCATAAAGCAAATGACTCAAGATGGGAAGCCATCCAAGCTGTTCGAGCAAAAGATGGGGTCTTGGGCTTAGGCCATTTTAAATTGATGAAGAAGTTGGGCTGTGGGGATATTGGGAGTGTCTATCTTTCAGAATTGAATGGTACAAAGTGTTATTTTGCCATGAAGGTCATGGACAAAGCGTCACTAGCAAGCCGTAAGAAGCTTCTTCGTGCTCAGACAGAAAGAGAGATATTACAGTCTTTGGACCATCCCTTCCTTCCATCTTTATATACCCATTTTGAGACGGAAAAATTTTCGTGTTTGGTGATGGAGTTCTGCCCAGGAGGTGACTTGCACACACTTCGGCAGAGGCAACCAGGAAAACGTTTTTCTGAACAAGCTGTAAAGTATGGCACTTTTCTCTAATCAAATCTAAATATATTTATAATCTAGCATGGAGTGATTTTCTCTCTTTGAGATAGTTTTGGTGCATGCTCTGGTAAAATGTTTCTGGACAGTTTTCTTATGTTCCTTCCTTTATCCTGCTTTAAATTTATGGCTATATGATTATAAAATTTTATGTTTCCAAGCTAGAAAGATTTCTTTTTTATATTTTAATTCCTTTTACCAGTGTAAATTGTCAAAAGAACTATTCATGCTGACTAGAGCATACCACAGACCACGTTTTTTACTTTACTAGGGACCCTTGCTTAAAAACTGGCGTACAAGGAAGCTATATGGAGTAGAGCTAGACAACTTTTTTTTCCCCCTTCTAACCTGACCAATTTTATTGGTTGTACCATCTTGCAGTTTCTTGAATCTATATTTGTCATTCTTCACCAGCACAATTATTGTATTGCCCTGTGTTTTTGTTTTTGTCTTTTTGTTCATTAAGGGCACCATAAAAGGGGCGTAAATGTATAACAATGCATGTGCAGGGTATGTAATTTTACTAAAATCAAAAGAGCAAAAAAAAAAAATTCATGTTCCCCAAAAACTCAACAAAAGAATTTATAGAAATGGAATAAAACTCTATGATCAAAAGAAGTGCACAAAATTAATTGTTTCAATCCATGTGAAATTTGCCAAGGTCTTCCTATTTTTCAAATTCCAAAGCACACATAATGCAAAGAGGGGCCACCTTCCTGACTCTGCTCCCCTGGCATCCATCACTGTCTCTGCTAATTCACATGACCCGGAACAAAGAGAAAATCAAATTCCATATCTTCTGTGCCACTGTGCAGTGATACAAAAGGTGGCAAACTGACTCTTACTGGTTTTTGTGAAGTTTCTCTTCTTGAACTTGTGAATTGGTAGAATCGCATCCCAAGCTGCTGAACAAGCAAAAATATGTCAACCTTAATGGGGGTTTTTATCCACCAAACTATCCCCATGTGGGGTTTACTATTCTAATCATACATCAGGCCTTATAAAATAAGCCAACAGTGAAGATCCTTCCATTATCAATTACAGCAAATGTTGTTGCTCCTATTTTCTTCCTTACATGTCCGCAATTCATGGTACATAACTGCACTCCATATGGTCGTATGAAGCATGGTTGTTCTTCAAATTGTATTCTGTGGCTCTCTTTGATATGATGGACACATGCCCGATCAGGTACATTTTCTTAAGCACCCCTCAGCTTCATACTTTGTCCTCATATTAAAGGATGATTTCCTTGTCATTCTCAACTCCATTGGACCATCGAGCCAGGATTATGTAAATGGCCACTCATTATATTTCGTCACCGATATTTGCTATTTCGTGATTTCAGTTTACATCCTAATGAGCTTAAATATTGAATATATTATTATAGTCTTATTTGTTTTAACACTTTTAACATCTTCTTGGCAATTCTCACTAAGCATTTATCCCTAGTTTAATTTCATCAATTAGAAAACTATATCACTAGCAAATGCGATATGTTATGGGCATTCGTGTTATATATGCCCCAGTTTTTCCTCAATCATCATCCTTGCCATTTATCCCATATGAGTGTTTCTATTAGAAACCATGTCTCCTATTATATTTAATTTTATTAGATTAAAATGGGTAGAGTTAGTAAGGAAAAACATGGTCACACGTGGTCTGATTGAGTCTATTTCCTTAGAGCAGAATGGAAAAATTGGATTCATATCAAGCGTGTGAATAAATCCCCATCCTGAGACGAAGGTGGTACAGAAGAGAGAGATAGATTCCTATTCCATTCACGTAGCTGCACCTCAGATCTTGAAACACCTGCCCCCCCTCCCACACTGGTACAGCAATTCCATAATACTACACTACCAAAGAAGACAAGAAAGCTACTGTGATTCATATGCCACAAGTCAGATTATATTATATATAGTCATCGAAACTTATACCTGTTAGTGAATAACTCCATTGCTTCCAATCCCAAGTAGCTGGGAAAAGGTTTTGTTGAGTTGAGTTTTTGTTCGACAATATTTTGGGTGCATTACTACTCTTTTTTTCCCCATATATGGGTACAATAATGTATTTTCACCATTCATTTAGTATATTCTTTTTCTTATATGATTTTATTTATGTCATCATTCCAAATATACCTACTTCTAAAACTTGTGCTTAATTTTCGTGATTCTTCCCCTGTATAAGAACTCCACTTTGGTGGGAAAATGAAACCTATTTTCTTTTATCCCATCAAGACTACTGAATTCTTATAAATCTAAGATCTGCCGATGGTTTTTATTATATGATTTCTACAAAGTTAGTCTTGCAACATGTCCTAAGTTGCTCAATTTAAAAACTCTCTGGACATCCCATTGATGGTCTTAACACATTAATACTTTCTACTTTGAAATACTGTTTATCTCCCCAATCTTTCAAATATGCATGCTTCTTTTTCATCATAGTACTGTTTGGATGTTCTTATCCCTCAAACTAAACCTACTATTATTTCCTAACCTTATTATTTGTTGTTTTATTTTTAATCTTTTCTCATCTTATTCTTTAACCAAAATTTTTAACTTTACCTTCTCCAGTGTATTTCAACTTAATTATCCAATGACAAGCCTATTTTTTTTCATTTTCCCTTAGATTCTGAAGATTGTTGTAACAAAACATTAATTTCATTTAGCATGATACTAATCCCATCCCTGATGTGTACATTCTCAAATTTCATATTTTACATATAAGTGGTCTTCAAATTATTTATTTATATATTTTTATTTTGTTTCATCTTGTTTAAAATGCCAAAAAGATCAAGGGATGCAGAGGTTGGAAAATACATTTGAAGTTCAATAGAGTTTGGTATTTAACTAAACCATACTCCTGCAAGCTAATGTTAATAAGTTATTGATGGTGAGAGCCAGAAGGGAAGTTCCACATCTGATTTTCTTGGAAATTTTCCTCTGCTTTGAGTTCGTTTTCCCATGCTTTTACTATAGAACTCTCCATTTCCAAATTAAGCCAATAGATATTACTTTTTGTTATTATTATCCTCTCTTTTTTTCTTTGGCAAGATTTTCCTCTAATTTGATTCTCAAGAGAGTGCAAAATTTTTCAATCTGGTACTACCATTTTGCCCAAGAAGGGCTTATCCTGTTATCTTTAGGTTTTCCATAGGCCTAAACATGAAAACATATTTAACCCCTTGATACTGGATCTGTACCTGTGTTATTTTCTGTTTGTTTTGCCTATATTAAGATGTATACTCTTAGCAATATACCTATTTTTAGGTCCTTGGTTTCGTTATGCCTATTGTCTCTTATGTTTGGAAATTGTCGTATGGTTTCATTGAGGGACACACAGCCTGACATAAGCATTAAATCTTTTTTAAATAGAAATAATAGCCTACCACTTTAGGGCCATGTGAGGGGATCATGGACCTCAAATATGGCATAGATTGCTCATTTAATAGGAGCAGGTGGCTTCAAGGGGAAGATGCAGATTTCTGTGCCTGCAATACATCAGAGTGAGGTTAATATGACTGCTTCCTTTTTTCTTTGCTCCCACTTACTTTTAAATGGCGGTGGCTGATGCAATATTTTAGTAGCATTTGCTAATTTAGACAGACAATTTTTAGATGCATTTCAGACATGCTACTAACAACTCTAGATCTATTCGTTTGAGGCGTCATGTTAAAAATGTCTTTGGGCATGATATCTGTTTCATGGTCCCTATCACCTGCCAAGTTACAAGATCGGCATTATATATGTAAATAAAAAACCACATATTATGGGGAAGTTATTAGAGAAACCAGAGGTTAGAACATAGATATTCAATCTAATAACAGCAACTAACGTTTATTATTTAAAGGATGTGTCGTAATTGGAGATCCTACATGAGTGAAAAAGCTGTTATTTGCTCTTGAGGAAACATAAGCAAGAGAGTTATCATTTCCATACCAGGTAAGAAGCACGGACACTTCTATGAGGTGCCGTGCCTATGTCTGACACTGACACTCCTAGACATGTGTTTGATGCTTCATGGCAATGTCCATTATTTAAAAATAAATGTAATTATTTCGGACACTTGGTCAACACATCTCGGACCTCGACACATTTAGGACACTTGTTCAACAAATTCCGAACACTGCCAATACATTTCGGACACTCAACCAACACATGCTACACTCTCCGTCTTATATAAATAAAAAACACACGATAGTCCTGAAAAAAATATTATGAAAATACATCAAAGTGTTCAACCTCTAAGGAACAAAAACATAACTATAATGACAAGATATAATAGTAATATATATTTTATAGAAAAATAAAAATTAGAAGGTATAATAGTAATATCGTATATACTATAACAAAATCTTTTTGATATTTGAATAGCATCATCTTCTAACTTATGTAACTTTATATAGAATTTATAAATTAATTAAAGTTCTATGCTTGTCGCATTCAAAAGCTATATAAATAAAAATTTATATTTATATTAGCCATGTCCATGTCGGCGTATCCATGTCGTATCAGGTCTGTGTCCTGTGTTCGAATCCGTGCTTCTTAGCATACCAGACTTGTAATAATCGGACTCCTGATGACTAAGTATCAACATACCAAAAATCCAAAAATTTTGTACATCGTACCTTGATTAACTTTATGGATATGCATGTGAACTGCAGTAGGCCAATTATTTCCCCTTATTTCCCCTTAAGTTCCACTCTGTCCAGAATCGAAGTTGTGGATGCTTTGTACCTCAGATTTAGGTTATGGGAAAGGAAAAATGTGAGACCTGAATATCTTGCGGTTGGAGATGTGAAGAAATAAGGAGACTGTTAGAAGGTGTGTGACTGTGATAAGCATCACACACACACACACACATATATATTTCTTTTCTTTTCTAAACGGGGTTTCCGGGGCGATCCACAGGACCTTTGCAAAGCGACCCCTCCACACGAATTGGGTAAAAGCTCGGACTATATCCGTGGTTGTGACCCCTCCACACGAATCCTTAATGCTTCCCGAGGCACTAAGGATAAGCATCATATTTTAAGTTTGGCTTCTGTCGTTGGCCTGTAAAATTAGATCTGTTCAGGAACCAAATCAGAACAGTTAAGTGGGAAGGAAGAAGGTCAGGTCAATGTGGGTTGATGGAAGCAGGAATATACAAGGTTGTTAGGATCGGGATTCTACGTAGGATCGATGAGGGGTCCATAGGATCGGGAATTGTAGGATCGGATCGAGAATCATAAGATTCTATAAAATTATTAGAAAAGTAACTCAAACTAACTTTCTATATCGAAAATATTTGATATAAGTAGAGAATAAGGCTAAATCATTGTTGCTTTCTCTAATTTCATGTCACCTAAAGGCAAAGACTAGAAGCTGTTGTTCTCTTGAGCTTATATCGTTATTTTGTTATTTAATTGTGATGTTCTTTTGAATTTCTCTATTCAGGTTCTATGTAGCAGAGGTCCTTCTTGCTCTGGAATACCTGCACATGCTCGGGGTTGTCTACCGTGATCTCAAGCCAGAAAATGTCCTAGTGAGGGAAGATGGACACATAATGCTTTCTGACTTTGATCTCTCCCTCCGCTGCACTGTCAGCCCAACACTTGTGAAGTCCTCATCCGTTGAAACTGACCCCTTCCGGAAGAACCCCGTTTATTGTGTACAACCTGCTTGCATTGAGCCATCTTGTATCCAGCCATCCTGTGTGGTGCCAACATGTTTTTCCCCTAGCTTCTTTTCAAGTAAATCCAAGAAAGAGCGAAAGCCCAAGAATGAAATTGGAAACCAAGTCAGCCCATTGCCAGAGCTTATTGCAGAGCCATCCGGGGCACGCTCAATGTCGTTTGTGGGGACCCATGAATATTTAGCACCTGAAATCATCAAAGGTGAAGGGCATGGCAGTGCTGTGGATTGGTGGACTTTCGGAATCTTTCTGTATGAACTATTGTTTGGTAAGACTCCTTTCAAGGGATCAGGGAATCGAGCCACCCTGTTCAATGTTGTGGGTCAGCCACTGCGATTCCCGGAGTCACCCTCTGTCAGTTTTTCGGCAAGGGATCTTATAAGGGGATTGCTAGTGAAAGAGCCACAGCATAGGTTGGCATACAAACGAGGAGCAACAGAAATTAAACAGCATCCCTTCTTCGAAGGTGTAAATTGGGCTTTGATTCGATGTGCAAGTCCGCCAGCAATCCCTATGCCAGTTGATATTGAAGGAATTCGAGCCCCGAAGGCATCAAGTGGTGAAAAAACCGCTGCTGCTGTTGTTACCCGTGATCAGAAAAGTTCTGATAATTATCTTGAATTTGATTTCTTTTAACGGTTTCCAGAACCAATTCCAATTTGTTTTCCAGAGGAAATGTGTAGGGTTCCTGAACATTTCGAGATGTTCTAGATGATGACGATTCCAGGGTTCTTGTATTGATGTCAATGATCAATGATTGTTTTATGTTGTTATTCAAATTTGTTGCTCAGTGGAGAAAATTAGAAATTTGTTGTATTGTAAAAGATAAAAATACTGATGCTGTGAATGCATAATGTGAATTCAGTCATTGATCTTTTCCTATGAAATGTTTAAAACAGAAAACTTGAAATGTGTTGGATGTTTTCTTACCAGAAAATAACTACTCCCTGAAGCTGCATTGATCCATTTTGTTCTGCAGAGCATTTGTAGCTGGATATGTGGTTAAGACCTATCTTTAGGGTCTAAATTTTCGTTGGACATCTAAATGTGCCCTTCCTAATCAAACATGAGATAAGCTTGACGCGGTCAGTCCGAATACAAGTTGACAGCTAGATTGGAAGGAAAGGAGGATTGTTTTTTGGGTAAGGGGAATGATAAAACAGAAGGGAAAGTCCATTCCCTCTGGGTTCTTCCAGAAGTCGGAGAAAAGGGAAAGTATCAAATGTATAATATATGAATTGGGTTTTGTGATAAACTGAATTGAATATGTAACCTCACATCTTCAGTCCTCCTGTTCAAAATTGATGTTTTGAACTAAATTTACTCCGATCTCAATTTCAATGCCTGTTCAGAAACATAATGTTATTAATTATGAAATCATATTCCAATAATTGTTTTATTATTAAACTTTTTTTTTTCCTTCTTTTATAATTGATTTTATATTTTTAATTACAATGTTAATAAATTTATAATAGAATTATTAAGTATTTATTAATTACTTAGATTTTTTGAAATTATCTTGACCTTATTTAATTTTTAATTTTATTAAAAATTACACACATACCGACGACCTGAACCCATATTGTCTCATTACAACTCAAGTAAGCTAGGTGTAACTAATTTTAGCCGTCTCATTTTCTTGTATATTGGCAATAATAATAATAATGAAATTCACAAGTCTACTATTCTCCTGTTTAGATTCAACGTAAACTTCACGACCTATGTAGTATTAATGTAATTTAATGAATGAATCACCGGTCTTCTTCTGGTTTGGTGACTTTTCATTTTTTATTTTTTCCTGGTTTGATGACTTTTTAGCTGAAAGGCTGAAAAATATATAAAATTAAAATTGAATGAATGAATGATGTCCATCCAAGTAGTGATATATATATATATATATATAATTAAAATTGAATGAATGAATGATGTCCATCCAAGTAGTGATATATATATATATATATATTGGGAAGAGAATATCCCTAGTGCTGGTATGGCATAATATATAAGATCCACCGACAATTAAAGAGTACTAGAAAAAAAAAATTCCATTCATTTATTTATTCGGCAACACATAATTGTGAAGCAGAAAGGTGGTGAATAATGGTGCCCCTATTGTGGTCCTTTGTATCTCTGTCCCTGTCTACTATATTATTTGTGAAAGATATTTGAAATTAAAAAATATAAAGTGGAATATTCATATTTTCCCTTTTTGAATTTTATTCTAAAATCTATTTTGTTTGAATCATCAATTAATTGAGAAGATATTGGGTGGCCGAATATCCTGACCAATCAAAACATCCATGTCTTTATTGTAACAGAATATTTTAGATCTTCTTAACATCATTATGTCACATAAAATTTATACCGAATTATTTTCAAATTAAATTATAAAGTAATGTATAATGTTGGTATCTTTAATTTTTGATATGGTATACAAATGTGTGTATATATTTTAAATTTTATATTTATATATTATTTTATTATGTGTGCTTGTAACCGTGTGTATTGTTTGTCATATTAGTTCAAAGTGTATGCTTGAATAGAAACATTTTAAATTACATGTATAAGCGTGTTAATATATATACGGGAAATTCAATTTACAATAAATTTTTTCAACTTAAAAGATCTTAATCCTTTACTAAATTCTTTACAATTTAGACAGTAGACATGTAGAAAAGTGAGTATTTATGAAAATATTGTGTATAAATGTACTTATGTGTACTGTGTACAAGTATATAAGTTTGTGTATAAAATTATGCACGTATACACTGTATATGTATGTATTTATATATGTTTTTTATTTATTTATCAATTTTGTATACACTTGTGTATTGTATTGTTTGACCAAAGTGGGGTGGCAGTCGGCAGCCCCAACCGAATGTATTTAAGGGAAGGGAACACAATTATTTCACATTTAAAAAAAGACCATTATCACTAAAATACTAAAAAATTTCGTATAAGTAATTTTTGAAGTTCTGTATATTCCTTTTTTTATTCCCTCTATTCTTTTTCTTCTCTCTCAGGTTTTGTTTTTGTTTGTTTAACGGTTTACATGCAACCAAACACTTGAAACCGTTGAAAACATTTATTTGTCAAAACAAATGGAGTACAGTATATATATATATGTGTGTGTGTGTGTGTGTGTTAAATATATCTATATAAAATATATAAATAGTATAGAAGTATCCCACATTTTTTAGAATTGACGGTGGAACTTACAAGACCACGTATATTAAAATTTGGTTGTGATTTAACAACTTGAGCCAGAAGAAGTATAAACTAATTCAATAGGGTGCAATATTATTAACCTTTTGCAAATGGCCTTTGTTAATCTTGCCATGCACTAAACAAAAATAAATTCATTTTAATAATCTTTACTTGAATGGTTCAGCACAAGCATGTGTGACCTAATATGGTGAGTGTTACCCAAGATTCTCTATACATACAGAATTAAACATGTATCTATAATCATGCACCACTCTAGATCTACCCAACCTAAATAATTTATTCATTATTTGAGCATCTTTTGGAATAGTGTTGACATGTGATGTTAGGAATCTTTGGGCATTATGCTTCTTTTCCTTCTTTTGTTTTGTTTTGCTTTTTGTTTTTGTTTTTGTTTCTTTTCTTTTTCCCTGATGCGTGTGTTGCGTTGTTGATTAGGTACATTAATTAACTCGAACTTGGCTTTTGATGCTTGATAAATTGAGTTTCTATCAACTATTACACCAAACAATAATGAAATTAAAATGATATATTATTCGACTTTGAGACTAAATCCGATGATGATGTATCATTTGCTCAACTATGATAGTTGAACATCTAGTAACTCCAAAGGAAATTTATATTCATGCAAAAACTTTTGTTAGTAGTGAAATAGCGGGTCAAGGAGGTTGCATAAATTTGTTGAAGGTTTTCCAACTAATATTAACAAGGTAAAAATTATTTTTATGATAAAATCATAACTTTTTTGGCCGACTTTGTAATATATAATGTGGTGATGGTTTTGTATATTCAATTGAAATCATGATATATATAATAATGTTAAGGCATCCGCCAAAAAAAAAAAAAAAAAACAAACATTCATGGAGTTTCATTTGAGACATGTACAAGTTCTTCCCGACATTGTGTTGATGATATAAACTAGAATTAAGAATGTTTATATTACCCTCTTCGATCATTTTGAGGGAAGGTGACACAACTTTATATGACAAAAAATATATATATTTTTCTATTTTTAATCCAAGCATGGGAAAAAGAAACTGATAAAAGTTCGGAAAAAAAGGGTTAACCAAGCAATTGACCTTTGCTCCATCTTCGGCAATTATTTAGGGATGTACCAGTTCACAATAGTTCTTAGAAATTGAAATTGGAACCAAAATCGTTGGGACATGGAACTGGAACCGAACTGATTCCACGATTCCTTTTTTTTATTAGCAATATATTGGGACCACATTTATGTCAATACCATTTAGTTAATGATTCTAAACATGTTCTTTGTTTATTTTGACATATAATATAGTACACAAGAACAAACATTTATTTCTGAAAAAAAAAACACATTTATTTTATATATATATATATATATATATATATATATATCTATATTACAATTTTGATGGAGAGATTTAACATGAATATTCTTCTAATAGGATTATTGTAGCATATAATCATAATATTTTTAAAATTTAGAGTCAAATAAGCATCAATAGACATATATTTTAGTTATTATATAATTTAAAAATAATATATATAATTATTAGTACGGTTTTGGTTCTAGACTAAAAATTGATAGCTCCAAAATTTTAGAACCGAAATCGAAACCAAATCAATGAGGAACTAAAATCGAAACACCGATTCGGTTCAATTTCACCAATTCTTTGTGCCACCCTACAAATATTATCCCTATTGAGATTGATCCAAACCACCATTTTAAAAATGTAGGATTCCTTTTCCTTGATCCCTTCAACTTCAATTTTGTTCTTCTAAGTCTTTAAAGCATATTTGTCACTTTGACTTTTCTTTTGGAATACATTAATGATTAATCATAGAATTCACTCTTGATCAAGTAAAAATTATTAATTAAATCAATAAGGGGAATATCTTTTTTAAATGTAGAAAGGCGACTTAAATTTTTCTTACTAATTGTAAAAAATGCTAAGATGCAATAGATCCTATGGATATAGATGGATGATGGTGTCTTAGATTCATAGGAGTATCAGCAAGCTTATAGCCCAACAAATGCTTTTGAATATTTCCACTTCTAATATTCAACTTAATGGATTTTCAGTCAAAACATTTTTGAGATAGTAATTTATATCTGAAATCTATCAATATGAGCTTTTAACCAAAAGTAAAAAACAAAAGGTGGTGTTTACCTCTGTGCATATCAACTAAGCCCTATCACATATGTAGAATTGAAATAGATCCTATGGATATAGATGGATGATGGTGTCTTAGATTCATAGGAGTATCAGCAAGCTTATAGCCCAACAAATGCTTTTGAATATTTCCACTTCTAATATTCAACTTAATGGATTTTCAGTCAAAACATTTTTGAGATAGTAATTTATATCTGAAATCTATCAATATGAGCTTTTAACCAAAAGTAAAAAACAAAAGGTGGTGTTTACCTCTGTGCATATCAACTAAGCCCTATCACATATGTAGAATTGAAATGGAGCTTATAGTATAAAATTTTCTATTCATGGGGAGAATTAAGTGAAAAATTCTTCTATGGTCTCGTATAATATATATATATCCGTGCAGTCGGAACATCGAAGGTGCTTACTTTACATTCATACTAAATTATTTTCAGAGGAAGATTAGGGAGATTTCTTGATTTCTGAATTATAGATTCAAACGTCATTAATAATGTATGTAATTTTTTATTGGGATTTCAAGACACCAAAAACGTCAGTGATGGAGAGACATAACCTCAACTTGGATTACAGGACTTTCAAATTATCAAAAAACTCTCAGTAATGGAAAGACATACTTTTTACTTGATTCGTAGAACATCAAAACACAAGAAAGCTCAGCGATGGAAAGCCATTAACTTGAGTAGTAAGACATCGTAAGAATTAGACATACACAACCTTATCGGGTTCGAATAAATACTCTCCGTGACAGCACGCACTCAATTGAAGTTGCTCAGAAGGAAAAAGTAAGCTCTATGACTAAGCCAACATTTGACAGCCCATGTAGGTTGGTCAATAAGCTCATGCCCTAAGAATGCTAAGGTTTCATGTTTGGGTCAAACATTGCATCCACGAATACTACTAACAAATGTTGTAGCGTTTTACCTACGCTATGATTTCAGCTTTTATCAATTGTGTAATCAAATTTATTTTTAGTAATCGTTGCTTTTTGACCAAAAAAAAAAAAAAAACTTTGACATTTGCTCCTAGCTTTATGGTTGTTACATAGCCCATAAGTTTAGAATATATAAAATCAGACTCGTTGCATTACTATTTTAATTTAGAATCATTTCATTACTATTTTAATCAAAATAAAACTAATTTAAATTTGAACTAACATGGTCACGATTTCTATAATGGAAATCATTTAAATCCTAAGTTTTTTTTTTTTTTTTTTTTTTCGAAAGGTTAAACAAATTATTGAAGTCCTAGGTTGAACACTTGAGCATGGACATGCCACATGAAGGAAGTGATATCTATGAAGATAATAAAAGATTTTTTCAACCTTGCAATTGATATTAATAGCGCATTCAGTGATAATTTTTCAGTATTTGCTTCAGTCACTCAAAAGCTGTGTGTGTGTGTGAGAGAGAGAGAGAGAGTTGTTTGTGTTCCGGTTAGTAGTTGGCAATCTCGAATGATTTTCAGCAAATTAAGAAGGTTTAATGAATATAATATATAGTTTATTGTCCAACTAATTTAATTAAACACTGTATCACTCCTCCTAATTTAATTAAACACAAGTCCACCCAATAACGGTGGTTGAAGGCAGTGACAATGGTGGAAGTCGGTGGTGACAGTGAAGGTGACTATGGTGGAAGGCAACAGAGGTGGTGGCGGCGTGGTGGTTGAAGGCGGCAACAATTGTGGCAATGACAGCGACGATGGTGAAAGACGGCAGTGGTTGTGGTGGATGATGGTGGTGGCGGTGATAATGATTTTTGGACTTAGAACATAAAAGTATTTTTGAGAATTTGATTTAAATATATATATATTATATATTTGGGAATGTTTATAAGTTTAATTGTGAAATAAATTTTCATTCGCATGATGAATAGATTTTCATTTAAATAGAATGACCATTCTCAATTTACATTACATACCAAACAAATGAATGTTTGGAATGTGCATTATAACTCCTAATTTGATTAAACATAGTCCACTTCAAATTTTATGAAAAAAATTGATATACAAACCGACTTGATTGAAAAAAATATCAACAGAGCTTTCTTAGTTAGGAGTTGGGACGAGGAATATGAATATTTTGGTGTGGTCCGTGTGGACACCACTAATAAAAATTCAGTTACAACAGCAACAATAACGATCCACATTGCTCCAAAGTTAATTTTTCCTCATGCTTACGTTGGAGACTCTCAATTCCCATGTGATGTAGATCTATGAGTGAAAGTGATGAACTTAAATGAGTTGTTGGATGAGAGAAGACAGATACACCATCAATGCCTGGGAGTAATCCGAACAAATAAATTGTATGGTACTCTCAATTATACTGTCTTTGATATATATATATATATATATATATCAAGTTGAAACAAACACACAAACATTTATAATATTATCTTTTAAAAAATTAAACAACATTCAATTTTTTTATTTTTTTATTTTTTATAAAGAGTGATCATATGAACATTTCAATTAATCTCCATTAAACTTACTTTTAATGTATTAAAATGTAACAAATCTGTATAAGTATCAATTTTCGTTTTTGAAATAGTAATATATTATGGGACACATATCTTCATTATTCCTACATGGGTTTGCTTTAATATATAATGCTTCTCACTCACACACACACACACACACACATAAAGCATACATAGATCTGGTACAGTAAGACGTGCATTGTACTTATGCAAAGGTGCCACTCTACTACCTTTATGCATTATTTGGTCGGAAGATAAATTTAGAAAAAAAAAATTAAAAATTATTTAGAATAAAAAATAATGAGAAAAAATAACTTTTAGTGTAATCGAAAAGAGTGAGATATAATGGATGTGTATTTGCTTGAACTATTTCGAAAAGAAAAAAAAAATTATATATAAATTATAATAGTGATGAATAAGTTAAATAAGATTTTTGCAAACTCAAACACATTATCATTTTCTCTTCTGTTTATTCATTCTGACTTTTACACGATTCACAACTATTTGACGAAAATGACATGATGCAATAAGACACCTTGAACACTTAATAACCACTAGTATAAAGTTTTGCTCTTTTTTTTTTTTTTTACTAGGAAAATAATATATAGGCAGCGAAATGGTTGAGGATTTTGCTTCTAAGGCTTCATGAAGTCTTCACTCATGTAGCATAGATCTTTTTGCAATTATTATTTAATTTATTTATTCATACCATTTTTTCATTGTATATTATTAAGAAAATGTTTCAGAGTCTACTTGTTTATTGTGCAGGTAAAATAAGTTTTAAGGTAAATAATATGTTTTCTCCCAATATGTTCTTCCACACAAATATTTTATTACTCACGTGTTGTATTGTTACATATTCTTTTCTAAAGTTCATATAAGATAATAACCAATTTTAAATATATACTGTTCTCAGTAAACTTGTGTCCTTTGTTATGTCTCATCATCAAAGAAATGTTACCTTCGTCCATAAATTTAATATTAGGATTCAAAGAATGAAGTGTAATTTGGATTCCTCCTCTCCACCCAATAATTATACTTTAATGAACACGGAAGAGAAAATCCGTTAATAAGAGTCCAATATTAGACTCTGTTAATCGGAATCACAGCAAGAAAAACAAATGATTTTTTTTCTTTAATATTTATTTTAAACTTAGTTTTTTTTTTTTTTTTTAAAAAAAAAAAAACAGATTTTTTAGCTGAAAATCAAAATGTTGACATATACTCCCATACAACGACCCTCACTAGTTTTAAGTTTTCAACGGCTGACAGGTTGCTAGCATTCATCAAAGTGGGATCCACACATGACATCTATGATCATCTTTTTTCATCTGCAGCTTATTCTGATACAAGCAATACCACCCAAGACTTTGCCATCTGATTTCATTATTTAATTTTAATTTGTTCCCTTTTCCTCTTTTCATCAAAAAGATTTGAGAAGGCAAGAGCTCCAATTTCCATTTCCAGAGGCGCTGGAAAAAAATTAACTTCAATTTTTTAAAAGAAGGGCCACACACTACACTTTTAAGACCCCTTCCCCCCCTCTCTCTCTACACTTCCCTTTCTCTCTCTAAGTTTTCCCAAAATCAAAGAGAGAGGGGATCTCGAGTTCAAATTTTGGGTTCTACATAATTTATTTTGAGACCAAAAAAAAAAAAATGGTCATTATAACACAAGATGTGATCAAACAGTTTCAGAAGTTAATGGAAGAAAGTTAGTTTCTCAATTCCCTCACTTCACATTCTTCCATTTCATCATTTTCTCTTCTTCGATCTACGCAGCCCTAACTTTTACATTGTTTTCTTTGTTGTTACAGTCGATGGACCACTCAAGTATACCTTCGAGGTTCTTCTTCTCTCTCTATCTATATTTACATATATATTTAAGCCTGATCTGTTCTGTATGATTAGAAACAGCAAATCTTCCCAAAGGTGATTTGATCTGGGCGTTTGAAGTTACACTTGATCTTGGTCTGATCTGTTTATTTAATTAATTTTATTTGTTGGTGTGGAAATTTATCTTATTATTATGGTGGATAAATGTCCTACTTTTATGTATCTTGGTTTCATTAGTGGAACTAAGGTTTGAGTTTAGTTCAATAGTTGCTTTAATTCTTAGGTTTAGTGTAGGCTGGTAGAATGTTCACAAAGATCACATGAATTGCTTGATTTTTGTAATTGGTGCTTTGGTCAACGTACTCACCAGAAATTGGGTATGTCTCTGTTTTTTTTTTTTTTCCCCTTTTCTTGATGTGGAAACAAGTTTTGTTTACTCCTCAGTGATGTGCTGAAAGATGGAATCTTTTATGTGATCTTCAATTTTAGTTTTGATAGGGATAATTTAGCTGGGATTTTTACAATGGCACATTCCAAGTCCGAATTAGCTAAACCCTTTTTAAATCTTTTGTTGATGCTTTTTATATTGTTACCCTCGAAGATGCGAGGGGATGTTTTTAGTCATTGTAATGTTCTGATGTTAAACATTTTACCCAATTTAGTTCAACAAGACTACTGGAGTTTAGGTACCGTTAATTATCTATTTCTGATTCTCAAATGTGAATTAACTTTACGGCTCACCTGTATTCTTTCTAGATTAGTAGCTGACAGTTTCTCCCAAGATGATTGATTTTATTTCCATCTAAAAAAGAATAGATAATTGATCTTAAGATTGTCAAATGAGGTAAAATGGTTGGTCTTTGCTGATGGTACCATCCAGATGCAAAATGAAGTTGACATGCTACGAAAATAGTTGAAAATTGGATAACCTAAAACTATGTTACTTCTCCTTGTCTTGTTGCATGCCTCGGACTATAATTGAGTACCAATGAAAGATAAAATAATTGTTGGTCCATTTGTGGTATTAGATGGATATTTGTTCAATTTGAAATTATATCAATCATATGATCTGCATTAATGGTTGAGTTGATTTCCAGAATATGCATCAAGGATATGCAACTGAAACGCTGGTGAGGTTTCTCAAAGCAAGGGATGGAAATGTTTCGAAAGCCCATAAAATGGTTGGATGCATTTAATTTAAGTTGAAATTTACAACCAAATGTTGCTTGAGAACTTTATTTATGCATTCATCTTCAAATTTTTTTCTTTTCTTTTTTTTGGTAAGTATTCATCTTCAATTCTCACTGACTATGCACAACTGTCCCAGCTGGATGATTGTTTAAAGTGGAGGATACAAAATGAGATTGACAATATATTGACGGTAAGTTTTATCATTATGTGTAAATCAACTAAGCATCCCTTTCTGTATCTAATTATGCTGTTTTGAGCTTGTTCATGACATGGTTTTCACATAATATGTTTTTTTTTTTTTAAATCAGACAAGAAGCTTTAGCGTACACAATTATTAGTGTTGAACCTATATTTGACATCTGACTGTTTCTTCGTCTTGAAAGTTGCATTAACTGGCTTCTAAGTTAAGCCATTTATTGTGTTATTGTCCTCATTACATCTAAGGTATTCTCTGCAGCTTTTAGCATGAAACCTTGACCCCAATTTTTCTGAACTTAATTGGGATTATGCATCTTAATTTAGAGAACACCGCTTAAGGTATCCATGAATTTATTTTTGATTCTTACTTTCTTAAAAATGCATGTTCGGAATCTGTGGTTAATATCTTATTTCCATTATGAGGGTGTTTGCCACCAAGGGTTTATCTATGTGGTTCATTGGAAAACAAGGCTATAAAACTTCTTTTTGGGTTGAATTATCTCTTTGGATATAACTTATTGATTTTCATGGAAGTTAAAATATGTGACATGAAATTGGCTAAAAAAAACATTTAGAAAATCTAAAAGAAACTAATTTTGAAAGATTGTAGAGTTCACGGTAGTTCAAACTGTCTGGTAACTTAACTCCTCGCTGATGTGGCCATTAATCATTTTTTTAATTACTAATTTTAACTGGTTCTCTGCACAGAAACCAATTGTTCCTGCTGATTTATACAGAGGAGTGCGAGATTCATATCTTGTAGGAATGTCTGGTTACTCAAAGGAGGTATTCCTTTTATGTAATCAATTTTTTTTTTTTTTTGATTACTAATTCTTACTATTAATGTTTTGTAGTGCTTCTTTCCCTAAATATGTTTAACAACTCAAAATTTAATTTTGTCTTAGTGATATGTATATATCTTACTCTCTTGATATATATAATTATATATGCTAAGAAAAAGAATGAATTCTACTTAAAATTAAAAAAAAAAAAAAAAAAGATAAGAAAAGTTATTAATTAATTTTTAAAAATTATGGATGTGGTTATTTTGACAATGTCATGCTTACCCACTTATTATATTTTATTTCATAAACTTTTCCAGGGTCTTCCTGTCATTGCTATTGGTGTTGGACTCTGCACATTTGACAAAGCATCTGTAAGGATATTATAATTTCTAATTTTTTTAAATTTCTTGATTTGGGGCTACAAAATAACTTCAATACTATAAAATAATTGTGAAAACCATTGTATGAAACCATGCTAGATTCATTGCCATGATATTTAACTGCAACAAGTGGGCTCACTTTCTGATTTGAAAAAATGTGCCACATTAGGGCATATGGTATAATCTCTTAGCTGGAATTTGCACTTATTGTGTTATGAAACATTTGCATTAAGCATCAGGTCACATCCTGAAGAATTTTGGTATGGAAGTATCAAATCATTAATGTGGAAGCGGCAAATGTCTGGGTCTATGTTTACATACGATAAAGCTTACATTTGCCTGAGATGTTCTAAATTTTAAATAACCAGTGCCATAAAGCTTGTGGGTATGTATTTCCTCGTGCTTCTTCTGGATGAGAACACCCTAACTTCTGAGTGCGACAAAAACCCTTACTAGCTGCTGCATGAATGTCATTGAGCAAACTCAAGAAATTCTATGCTGCTTTGTGCATTTTTGTATATGTATATTTTCTTGTAGTGAAATTAGTTTTCTATTGTGTGATATTTACTTGTATAATTCGTTTTTCATTTTAGATTCATTGTTACGTTCAGTCACACATCCAAATGAATGAATACAGAGATCGGGTAATACTGGTGAGTATGGTATATGAAGACTTGAGATTGTATAATTATAGTTCTTACTATTAGCTTTTATTGTAGCCTATTTGTGTTTTGTTGTAGCCGTCTGCATCAAAGAAGTATGGACGATGTATTGGAACCTGTGTGAAGATTTTGGATATGACCGGTCTAAAGCTTTCAGCACTGAACCACATTAAGGTATCTTTTGTATTGCATAATCTTCTAATATTACTTCTTATTTATTCTAATTTCTAACTATGAGGATTTTTTTTATGTGGAAAAAATTCCCCCATTAATATTCCTGATGCTTATAACATTGTTGCCTTTTAGCAAGTAGCAGCCAATTTCATGTACTAATTATCAGGAGACCTGATTTAGTCATCTCTTGATCAGGAGTTATTCACATAGTATTTCTCACCATGATTATAAATTCAATCCCCCCCCCCCCCCCCCCCCCCCCCTCCAAAAAAAAAAAAAAAAAATCTAAAAATCCCAAAAACCTACCATCTTTTATCTTTGAGAACAATCTTTCACTGGCAACAAAAACCTTGAGGTGATCACCTGTGCTATGTGATTCCATTTAATTAGAATATCTACCAGTTGAACTATTATTCAGCATATGTATGAGTGATAACCAACAGTTGAACTATTATTCATATGTGTATGAGTGATTTGGACACGCGCATCTTTCATTTTATGTCGAGTTAGGACACAGTTTACTCATTCTATTCAATTGTCGTCTTGGGACCACGTATCGTTCACACTTCATTTTGCGCTTGTTGGCTTTTCAGCTAATGACTGTTATATCTACCATCGATGACCTCAACTATCCAGAGAAGACAGATGCATATTACATTGTCAATGCACCATACATATTTTCAGCATGCTGGAAGGTTTGCTTCTATCTTTTTTATAAAGAAATGTCAACAGTTCTTATAGGAACAAATTATCAACAGCTTAGAATTTTTACTGCTGGCAGGTTGTGAGGCCACTTTTGCAAGAAAGAACAAGAAAGAAGATTCAGGTGCTGTCAGGTTGTGGGAGAGATGACTTGTTGAAGGTAAGTCTACTTCCCTGTCATGGTTTTTGGGTTCTTTTTCTTGTACAGTAACTACAGTCACCCCTCTAATAATTGGTTTTTATGATTTAATAATTATAAAAAATAATAATTTTAGAGGAGCAAACTTGGTACCAGAGTGAAAAGTAATAATTTCTAACTTAATAATTAATGATGTAGAAGAAAAAATTATTACTACATTGTTTATTATTTGAATGATAATATATTAAGAGATGCAAACATTCACAAGAGAAAGTTTAATTGTAAGCTGACCTATGTCTTGGTTTGGTTGATTTCAATTTTTTTTTTTAGTGACTTGTTTGGTCAATAAAATTCTTGAGTAATTAAATACATAGGATATGCACCTGTCTCACCAACATTTAAGTTAATAATTTATTTCAAATAAGATTGTAATTTTTCTTTTCTCAGTATGGCAAAGTTATTAGATGTAAGATATATATTGTTATGTTAACTTATTGTTGAAAAGTTGTGTTATTCACCTACTTAAGAGACTTTGTAAACTATGTTAAGTAGTTTGCCAAACCTGAATTATGTACATTCGGCTCTTCGGACTTGGTCAGGATGATTGAGCCTGCATCTATGAGGTCATTTTTCTGTTGAAGCCTATTTAAACCCATCTTATCCCCAATATTTGGTACTTTTTCTTTCTTTCTCCTTCCTCTCCCGCTCTCATGGTGATACAAAATCTTGAAATTTCAGTCCATTCTCGGACCAATAACCTCTCTCTTTCCTTCTTTCTAGGTTTCCCAATGACCGTGCCCCTTTTCAATCTGGGTCCGTATTTAACTGTCTCAAGACTTTACCTCGGTTTCATCTCTGTCTTCTTTGCTCTTTAATTCATAGTTTCATACATACATACATACTATATATATATATACACACACACACACACATTGTATATTAAGAGATGCAAACATTCACAAAGAGAGTTTAATAGTAAGCTGACCTATGTCTTGGTTTGGTTGATTTCAATTTTTTTTTTAGTGACTTGTTTGGTCAATAAAATTCTCGACTAATTAAATACGTAGGATATGCACCTGTCTCACCAACATTTAAGTTAATAATTTAATTAAAATAAGATTGTAAATTTTCTTCTCAGTATGGCAAAGTTAATGGATTTAATATATATATATTGTTATGTTAACTTATTGTTGAAAAGTTATTGGTTATTCACCTACCAAAAAATATTGTCGTTTGTTTTTGCCTTTTTGGCATGTTAGATGTCAATATGATTTGCTGGATTTTGTGATGATTTAAAGCAACTTAATAATTCTATTAATTAATAAAATTATTATTTTTCCATAGTAGTAATATTTAAGAAACTTGACTTGAAGCACATCTCTGGTTTAGAAACCAAAATCTTAGGATAATGAAATGTCATTCTTTTATTTCACAGTTTGATGTCTGGAAGTTGGTGGTTCCTAATGTAATTTGTACAAAGTACCATAATGGTGTTCTATCTGTTGTTTAGTGGTACCATATTAGTCAAATGGTGTACTTTTAAGGATGACTTCTGTATTTTTTATCATACATCACATCCTAAATATGAGCTGAACTAACTTTTTTTTTAAACAACTCAAAAGAGTAATTAAAAAAGAAAGCCAAATTCTGAGAAATGATGAACATTGGTAATTTTAATAACATGCTCATATTAAGTAAACTTATGCTGTCGACTACTCTGTATTACCCAATGGCATTTGGACTTGCAATATCAATCACATGCTCCAAAAAGAGAAGGGCATTTACTTGAAACATTTAAAATCCTTTTCAGTGATAGCGAAATAGACTTTTTTATTGCCAGGGTGATAGATTGTGCAATATCTAAGAAATTTCTATGATATTATTGAAGTGGACTTGACCATACAAGTATGGGTAGTCGTATGCATCAGAATGAGGAAGAGAAAGGGTTGGGGAAAGAAGCGTCCAGAAACTAGATGGTGATCTTGAAAAGGAACTAATAAATTGTATGCTAAGGAAAGATGATGTAATATAGAAGAAGAAAGAAATGTCTTTCTTGGTTAATCTGGGAAAGACGGTCAAAATTTAAGGGGTTTGATGACTTGTGTTGATGGGAACTTAGAATAGATCACCTAGATAGAGTTGAAGGCAAAAGAATCAAGTTTTGTAGTTTACCAGTACTGGGCAATATATTCTTCAACGATTTGAAGTTCTGCCTTTGCGTTATCTTGTCCATATGATGCTAATGGACATTGGCAAACCATGTCATTCTGTGATTAGCCAATTCATTCTCAATCTGGGACATTCAGGCACGGTAATTGTTTGAAAGTGGTTTGGTGCCCGTCTGAAATTGATAAAACAACATTTATACTATTGATTTGCTGAAGCCATACATGCAAAAACTTAAAAGGGTGAGGCTTCATATTCAATCAGGGAACTGGAATTAGTGGGGTTTTGGCCAGTTCTACAGACTGCAGCATTTGCTTAGTGAGGGCCTCTCCCATCATCTTCCTCGTTCATCTATGAGTTTTTTTTTTTTTTGGTTATAGTTTGTGTATCCCCAAATAGTTGGGAAAAGGTTTGGTGGTGGTGCTTTTGTTCTTCAGAGTTGAGACTTGCTTTTCTTTTTTTATTCATCACTTGTTTGACATTGTTGACTCACAAATTGAATACAGATAATGGATTATGCATCACTCCCGCATTTTTGTAGAAGAGAAGGCTCGGGATCATCTGGACATTCTAGGAATGGAACCACTGATGATTGTTTCTCGCTGGACCATGCTTTTCATCACCAGCTCTATAACTATATCAAGCAGCAAGCTATGCTCGTAGACTCCATTGCACCAATCAAACAAGGGCCATTCCGTGCACCAATCAAACAAGGGTCATTCCATGTGGATTTTCCTGAGCCAAACCCAGAAGATACAAAGATTGCTGAAACTTTAGAGACCGAGTTTCAAAGGCTTGGTGTTCAGAATGGGCATTCCAACTCACGAAATGACCTGAAGGTCAGCAGTGATTGAGAGCTGAAGGAAAAGCACACCATGTCTGGTCCAAATATGACCCCATAACAGGCACTTGTGGACAAGTAAGTACTCCATAAAGCTGTTGGATGGGGGTTAATTTACAGATGCCATAGCAATGGCTTGCATTAGCCTCAATGCAGGTTTGGTAGGACTAAGTTTAGTTGAAATTATCACCTTGGTGTGGATGATCATACCATCGCCCAAAAATGTTACAATCACAAGAGCAAGTGTAACTTTTATAAGTCATTTCTATTCGCTTAAAAATAATCTCTCCGCACATATTTGCTCCATGAAGCACTTGCGAAGTTCAAAAGGAAAAAAATAAAAATAAAAATGATTGCTTGTCTTACACATATACTGTTTTAAAAAAAAAGGGTAATCAAGAACACAGGCATTCGTTATGTTCCCATGGAGATTTAAATCCTTTAACCCTTCTTATACCACTTGAGCTAAAGGCTTGGTGTTGGTTGGATTGCATTTCATGCAAAATGCTAAACCCGGAAGAAACCTATTTTGACATTTAATTCGCAGTGAAGCAAAAGGGTTTTTGTGCTGGCATAGCTGTTTTAGGTAAATGACATTTTGACGGTGAGCTTAAGGGGAGAAATTATTAGCATAAAGGTGTGAAATGGGGGGTGTTAATCTTTAGTATTTGTCAGAAGTTAAAAAAAAAAAAAAAAAAAACAAAACGAAACGAAAAAAACAAAAATGGTTTGAGGATAAGGTAGCTTAATTTTGCATTGAGGGAATTTCCATGTGAAATTGTCAACCAGATGGGCTATTCTTCTGCGTTGACATTTTGTAAATGACATTTTGACGGTGAGCTGAAGGGGAGAAATTATTAGCATAAAGGTGTGAAATGGGGGGTGTTAATCTTTAGTATTTGTCAGAAGTTAAAAAAAAAAAAAAAAAAAAACAAAAAACAAAACAAAACGAAAAAAACAAAAATGGTTTGAGGATAAGGTAGCTTAATTTTGCATTGAGGGAATTGTTCCATGTGAAATTGTCAACCAGATGGGCTATTCTTCTGCGTTGACATTTTGTAAATGACATTTTGACGGTGAGCTGAAGGGGAGAAATTATTAGCATAAAGGTCTGAAATGGGGGTTGTTAATCTTTAGTATTTGTCATACTTTGATGCATGAAAATGATCAGGAAGGGCATAAATTGCATGTTTAATCTAACACTCAATCATGATTGGTTGCCATCAGCTTGATCTCGATGTATAAAATAAAAAAAAAATGTAAGGAATAAATTTATGTTATTTTGTTGCTGATTTTTTTTTTTTGTCAAATTCATTGGAGGCACTAACCCACTGAGTTATAGAGGTATCTGCATGCATCATATTAATAATAGCTATAATAAAAATAATGACTTATGAAAAAAAAATTATGAGGGCAAGTTGTCACCCCACCTCTCAAATCTTAAGATACACACCTAGGATCTCCTTTCATATATGTAAACCACCACCAGTTCCATAAGCAAGCAAATGCTAAGAATAAAGGGACAACTAAATAATAAAAATAAATATAATCTAGAAACACACTTTTATATGTGTGTGTGTGTGACAAACACAAAATGGTGGACAAAGGTTGGTGGTGTTGTGATTCTTGTGGAGTGGAGGACACGATGGTCTAGATTCAGGCATAGTGATCTTGTGCGGTGATGATGGTGACGTAGAGATGGTGATGGCTTGGAATTTTTTATTTTTTATTTTTTTTTAACTTCCACAAAATGAAGAAAATGACAATTGTGCCCTCAGCTTTCAACTCTAGTAGCCTAATGAACTTTATTGTCTGATAGATCAGTTCTATTTTTGAGTAAGCAATGCAACACATTTTGATTCAGACTGAAAATTAACACAAATCAATGTACTAACAAGTCTATAACATACAACGTGTAGATACTGTCGACATTCCATTTGAGATTTTAGAGACTATAATATCCTTATATTACAAAATCCAGATTTAGACATCAAGCCATGCATTGAAAACAAACAGAATTGAAGTACACAAACCCATATTCATAAACATATATATCTGACAATTTACCGCCTTTCCTCTCAAAAATTAAATAAGATCTTGAAACTGTAGATGCATTGCATGTTTCTCGTAAACTTGGGAGACAATAGGACAAAGCGTTCTACCTGCTATGGGATTGACACATCCAAGTTTGGTTGTTTAACTCAACTGTTTGTAGCAGCTATAGGCTAGGGCAACTGAGAATGCAGCACCAATAACAGCAAGAGCTGCATATGTATCTTCACGCTCCCAGCTCTCAAACCATGTTGGCATTGCACACACCTTGCGGCAAGCCCCTTTACCACTATTATTTCGAGACACTTGTTTCTTGCTGCTCTTCTTCTTTTCAGTTGTCAATTTTGTCTCCATCTCGTTTAGATCGGGATTGCCAATCTTTTCTGGTAGAGGGTTCTGACAACAAGAGGAGCTTCTATTTTCCTGGCAACAAGCCATATCTTCAACTCGAGATCCATGTACTGCATTACCAATGTCATTTGACTCTGCCGATTCTTCTGCACTTCTTTCCATATATGCGTCACCATTAAGTTGCAGCCTTAGTTCCTGGGATCTCCTCTGGTCTTCTTCTGATAAACCCATCTGTCCCCTGAAGTCAGTTTTACCATAAAAAACGAGTACCATGAATAGTTCATTCATGCGTAGACACATACACTACTAATATACACGCATATATACATTTGCATATTGAGATTGATATATATATATATATATATATATATAGAGAGAGAGAGAGAGAGAGAGAGAGAGGAGGGTATACAACAAACTACAGAGGAACACTATCCTTTTTTCCATGGTGGTAGTCATTTATCAGCACTGCAGGGTGCTACCTACAGAAGTTCCCACTTTATGCTTCACGACTAACAAAATCAAAATTTCATTTCATTTGTGGAAAAAAATGAAAAACAATCAAGCCAGTGTTCAGTCTGATGCAGAGCATAGACTAGTCCACGAAGCCACACTAAACTAGGCGGCTACCATAAGGGCTGCAATCAGATGAGGTTGTCATGGCTGTTGCATTAATGTTTTTGCAGAGAGTTTCTTAGTTAATTAAGTTCTCTTATATATTTTGTATTTTCCTAGTTGTTATGGAAGCTTATGGAGGAAGCTTTGTTAAGAAGCCTATAGAGAAAGCTTTGTTAGGGAAGCTTTTGTAGGAAGCATTTGTAGGAAGATTTTGGTGCCTATAAATAGGCAAATATGTAACTCATATAAGTAGTTGTTTTGAGATTAAATATAGAATTGAATTCAGTTTTCTCCGCCTAAAATTTTTCTTCTGTTCTCCTCCCTCTACTTCACTAGTCATTCTCTCATCTCTTCTTCTCTGTCTCTATCTCACCCCTAATTCTGTTCTCTAGTTCTCTTCCTAATCTCTTCTAGAATTCAATTGCATTCAAGCTATCCATCCTACATCACAGTCCCCTCGAATATTATATGTGTGTGTATATATATTTATATATATATATATATATGTTAATGTAATTTTATAGGACCAGACCATACCAGTCATGAGCCAATAAATTTCATAATCACAACCTAGCCTCGAAATTCTTAGCAACCGTCTGATTTCTCATGATATACTCATATCAACAGACCTTAATTCCAACTACTTGATTCACTTCAAGAAACTTCTTTATCTTTGCCATTGTCTTTCTTCTTCGCCTTGACCTGAGTCCTTCGACGCCTTTGACTCGATTAATTTCAACTGTTGTTACCTATATGACAAACAGTTTAAGTTGGGAGCCTTCTCATTGCTCGCAAGCGCAATGAGCTTGGAAACAGATGACAGTCATCCATTGCAAATGGTAATTGAAAGATATCACCACCAGGATGTCCTCAAGACTGCAATATCAAAAAGCAGAAAAAAAATTCCACTCATAAGTCCAGAAAACCTCCAATTCATTGTTCAGTTTCTTTGTCCAATCACCAATAAAATGAAAAGTGCCCTAACTCGTTGTCAAAGCCACAAAAATAGATGACTATAAGGAACCAAGACCGTGAACAGTGTGGGTACCTAACCCACCATTACATGTGTTGTTGAGGTGGCATACATAACTGCACCATATGGCACTGAGGAAGCAGTCATGTCATCTATAGCTCGCACGTGCTATTTTCCATGGAACCTCCTCCAACAGTCCTCTTTGAATAGGGCTCAACACACCTCTATTAAGTATCATATATAATATCTCACAACCTCAAACCACTGACCATCGACTCTACAGTCTACACATGAACATTCTGGAACAAAATTTCATGAAGTTTAACCGCACCATGCTTCAACCGCACAGTATGCTTTCTCAATAGGCTACATACTCCGCTAGTATTATCTCCAATATACACATTTTTCGGGCAATGTTATATATCTACCCCATTGACTGCCCCCTCTCTTTCTATTATCATCCTGCCTTCTCCATTGGCATGTCAACAGCAGGTTTAGCCGGAGACTTGAAGTGTAGAAACAGATATGATATTGTGGTAAGACACGGCACTATGACAACTTCTTGAAAAACTAGATAAAACAGAGAGAGGATGATATCTATGTAAATATTGTATGCCTGTAGATATGTATAATTTATGTACAAAAAAATAAAATAATAATTATTTACCATTTTATACACATCTAAGACATTATTAACCTTTCTTCTCAGGCAATTTCAATGGAGGGAGTAAACGGAAAGTGTTATTCTACTATTTTGCATACAACTCTAATATAATTTTTTCAGTTGACAACTCAACTTTGTAAAATAACTAAGGTTAAAATTGGTATTTTGAAATTCTCATTTGTTGCCATAAGAAAATTTTATCTTCGATCAGTACTGATAAATTTCATGGGAGGTCAGTGTCTTTTTTTTTTTTTTTTTTTCCAGGGAGGGTAGTGTAATTATGAGAAACCTCACAGGAGAGATTGTAATTAGAGAATGTGTCCAAGTTGTCCAACAATATATTTCAAGCTCTAACACCCTCTCTCGTGTGCGTCTTGCATGTGGCAATGCAAATTGACCAAACCAAAAAGTGCATACTTCAAAAAAATTTGGCAAAATAATAACATATTCGGAGACTTGAACGCAAGACTTGGCGGACCCAATAATTGCATATATGGAAACTTGAACCCAAGACCACCCGAAACAAAAACTATGATACCATGTTAGACTACCAATTGTAACTTAAGTATTTGTATCATTAATTCCTTATTGAGGGTAATGTTAGAAGAAGGAAAGACCGACACTAGCATGGGTCGAGATAGGAATTATATGATAGCAAATGGTTTAGTTCAGCCTATAGCCTTAGAGCGGAATGACAAAAACTTATTCTTGTACCCGACACCAAATAGCTGAGAAAAGGCTTTATTGAGCCTAGTAGAATTGCATTTACTCCAATGGAAATTTTCTACCAGAAAACTAAAAGGAAAAAAGACAAAACTGCACAACTAGCTGTACAAGCTTAAGGAGATGACTTTTTTTGTGTCAATGCCAATAAATCGAGAATCCCTCAAAATATTTCAAGCAAACTTAAAAGGCTTGCAGATTTCCAATGGAACATGAACTTGAGAAACACTGAAAAACTGCCCACACCCACAGATTACACAGAAAAGGTAGGGCAACTTTTTCATATTTTGGCTGCACATACTCATACATGACAAACAGCCCAATTTTTTAATTCTCTCTTTTATCTTTGTTATCCATGAAAGAGCTGTAATGCACATCATTTTAGTTGATGGTGCCAACAGAATATCCTCCAAAATTCTATCATGCAATAAAGACATGCAACTACAACAAGACTTGATCTCTGAAGTTAGAAAAACTAACAATAGAAAATTACCTCCACATCCAATCAACAATTTCTCCTTTCCCAATATGCTGCTCGAGCAAAATAGTTACATCATCTGGGGTAACATAGCCATACCTATGGAATATTAAAAAAGAATGGTTCCACAATCACTCAAGAAAAGCTAAGGCTTACACTTAGAATTAAAAGATAAGATGAAAGCATTAGGTGGGCAAAATATATGAATTAACGAAGGGAATCTCCTTACCAGTGGCCAGTGACTTCTCCATTTATATTTGATCCGAATATGATCACATTTCCTGCATACTTGTGCCCCCCAATGTGTGAGCATGCACTAACAGACACTTTACTTTGAAGACCACGTGATTCTATCTCTTCCTTGAATCTAGTAATCAGAGCAGGTCCACAAACACCACACCTTCGATCTCTGCTCCCATGACAACATACAAAAACGTATGAGCCCTTCAGTGTTTCAGGAGTTCCAGGCAGCCATTCCCCATCTTTCACAAGCACTTCTTCGACAAATGTGTCAATATCAAAATGTGTCAATCTCCTGCATCCTTTGTAAAGATTTTAATCAATGTTAGGAGCCAAAAAGAAAAAAGAGAAGAGCATCTAAAAAGGTAGTCAAGAGGCTGAATTTGACCTGTATCTGATCATGTCTGGAAAGATTAATACATCTCCATTTGATGTCTCAGTCCCATCATGCCCCTCACATATTGTCAATCGTGTCTTGAGAAAGGGAGGGAAATTGCAACATCAAAAAGATTTAAGTCAGCTATAATAACTAGAAGCCAAGATAAGCTGCATGGCATAGTTAAGGCATATGGTTTCAAGAAGTAAAGCATATATAAGTGATAAATCCAACCAAATTCAAGATTGAAACAGCATTATTTGACCAAATAAACCGAAAAAAATCCTTATTGTATCAATTTAATTACATGAATTAACTATTGGAGTAGTGGGGTTAATGTTTTCATATTGTTCATGTTGATCTAGATAAGAAAATGTACACTCCTAGACCATAGAAGCAAAAGAAACTTTTTGAATGAGAATCCATAGAGGCGTAGACTAACATATTTTAGCTGGTAGAATATTCTATATCTTCTTTTAATATAGATAAAACATCTATTACTGCTTGGCAAGATTAATTTTTCAACCCAGTGAATTCACAAAATGTACAGAGCACACATGCACATGAGCATATAAATACACAACATAAGCTTGATCTAGTGCCGAAGGGGTACCTAGTACCTACCTAGACATACATTTAGTTATACTTGTACCCTACATTAGCATTACTGAAAATCGTAAAAACCAAATGATAACTTAGACTTGTGAAGCGGAAAAGTTGACTAAAAAAATCAGTTTATGAAACAAGTCAAAGCACCTTGAAAACTGATAATAGAGATCCAATGAAAATCTGTCAATCAGACTTTTGAGTTTCGAAGAAATGTTGGAAGAAGTTTTATCATGTGCCAGGGCCAATGGCAGAGAGTAAAACTTGAAATTTCCTAAATTTCAAAATATTACAACTCAAGTAGTAAAATTCCCAATTATAACAAAGCAGAAGAAGAACAGATCATCAAACATTCTTAAATCTAAAGTCGTTGAATATCTTCATCTCTCACAAATTGCTTCATAGAAAATGCCGAACCAAACAGATTGCATCACCAAGTACTAAATTGTGTTCCTTAACATCATTAATTATCATATTACTGGTGAGACAGCTGAATGTTAACTAGAATATTATAGATGCAATAGCTGAATCTGAACTCCATGCATCATAATTTCTAGACAATTCACTATACAAAAAGTAGGATAAAGGGTAAAAGTCCAGATGAACAATAAAGTTTTCTCCTCATACAGTTTAGTGTTAATATTGAAGTTCACAAAAACTGATAGTTGATAAGCTTCAAAATTCCTAGAAATGCTGATAACACAAGTTCATAATTTCAGTCCCAACAGTAATTAGAGGATTGTTGCCAAACACAGTAAATAATTTATTCATCATCGGCAGACCTCTTTTCACGATTCGTTTAAATAAAGATTTTATTACTTCTGGTGCACTTGTGGATGGTTTATACTTAGTTACTCCAAACTCCTATGTGATGCATAACACTAAATTAGATACATCATTGGCAAATCTAAAAGTTAAGAGAAAGTCACCATCTCCTAGTTCAATGTATTTTTGGCATTTAAGACTTGGTCATATTAATCCAAATAGGATTCAAAGATTGGTTAAAGAAGGTTTAATACCTAGGGAGGTAGAGGTGCCTATGCCAACATGTGAATCTTGTTTGGAAGGTGAAGACCTGCTTTTCACTGATTATGATGCAAACCAAACCAACAGCATAATTATGTTGGCAAATTCCAGCACTATTCCTACACAACATTACTCTTATTATAATCCTTTTTGTGGATTCGATCAGATGGAAAATGTTGCAATACAACTATGTAAAGAATTTATGGGAAATTATGTGAGAGAGAACGAAAAACAAATTCAGCAAGCTAAATCTAAGAAACCAAATTTAAGCTGCTCACAATCCCCAAATTGAATGTCAAAGCAAATAACACTGCTTCATTCATTGGATTCCATAACAAACACCTACAATATTCTAAAACCCTAATCCCCTGGACGTGAAATGAAAACCAACAAAATTCAGAACAATGGAAAATACATGCTTCATTCAAACACAGAAGCAACTTCAACAGAAATTCCTATTGAAGAAACGCTAGTCTCTATCACAGAACCCACTTCCTATTGTTTGAAGCACCACAACCCATGTCCAAAATCATCCAAAAATACGAACATAGACAAACAACAGAAACCCAGTTTAAATCAAGAAATAGAAAACCAAACCCGCATTAAAATTAAGAAATCAAAGACAACCCACAAACCTGTTTCTTCATATCACCCTTTTTAGCCACGAGAGCGGCTGAGAGAAGCCTCGGCAACCGGTCGAACTCAGCAGCCTCGATGCGGGGAGGCCACACCCGAGGGTTCTTATAGCATAGAAACACATGGCGATCGTAGTACTCTACGGTCCCCACCAGTGGGCCCTGTCGAAACTCAGGCCGCAAGAACCCAAACTCGGCGTCGCTTCCGCCGTCGAGGCCCCCGAGAAAACCCTCGTTCTGGAAGCTTCCAGAAGCGCTCCCAATCTGTGAATTGCTACCAGGGTCGAGAAGGAAGCTGTCTCCGTCTGAGAATGCGACTGGGGACGATGTTGATGGGTTCATGAATGTGAGAGGTTCGTCTCTGTTGCTTGCCATTGTAGTGTTCGACAAATGTCCCCTGAGAAACCGATACGTATAGAGAGAGAACCAAACTATAACTATATCGTACTCCGTATTTCAGAGAGGAGAGAGTGAGTGAGTATATACGTTACTGTGTTTTACTTCCACTGATATTGGAAGTGGGTTGCTACTACTAAAAATTGGTTTCGGTGGACTTGTCTGGTAATTGAATAGTGACGATTGAACATGCGGGACACTGTCCTACCCATACAATGTGGTCTAACTATCCGCATCACATTTTATACATTAGGTCAAACTCAAGTTTACTGTTAAATACAACGGTCTGATGCTGTAAAACATCAGATGGGCTATACATATAGAGGATTTTGGTTCGAAGAAAAATGATGCTCCATCAAAATTAAACTGTGCACAAAATTTCGCTACTAAAAATTAGTAAGATTTACCATTATAGAGGTGAATATAATATAAATTTTTATACTCTTCTCCTAAAAAAATGTCATGTTTTTCTATTTGATCTGTCCCAAAATAATTATTCATTTTTTTTTTCAAACAATATATTTTATATCTTTCCATATACTATCTCCATCCCTTATTAGTTGTCCATCTTTGATTTTATAACTTTTTAAGGGACATGTAATTAATGCATTGTCCCTTTTTAAAATTACCAAATTATCCTTTTAAATTTAAATATATATAGTTTCAAAGTTCGAAATTTTTTAAAAAGATAAAAGACAATGATGGAAATATAAAGAAAAGAAGCTTTGACTTTTCAAAGAGGACAACTAATTTGTGACAGGTAAAAAAGAGAAAAATGGACTACTAATAAAGGACGGAGGGAGTATGTTTTTGGAGTTTAAAATTTCAAAACAAATTTAAAAGGGTAAATTAGTAACTTTTTAAGAAAATAAGGCATGCCCCATGTGTTTCCTTAAAAATTCCTATTCTCAATTGAGAAGGGGAATAGTAAATATAATGTAGTGTGCACCATGCCAAAAACAAAAAGTAAAGAAAATATTTTGATTTATAAGTATATAATGATCAAACCGTTGACTAAAATATAATTCACTATCTATCACATTGGATGCTCGAAACAAAATCAAATATATAGCAAATTGAATGGTTGAAAAAATAGTGGCTATGTGAGATAGGAAAAGCAACACAAGTGACTTACAATCGGGTGAAAATCACCTCCAGTGAAATAGTGTATTATTTTCTCCATTTTAAAATAAGTGGTTCAAAAATGACAACGTCACCTATATTTGGGATGCATAATAGGAAAATGTTGGAAGATACTATAAAAAAAATGTTAGAATGCACTTTTACTCACAAAAATAAAGAAAATGAACTATTGTACAAATGGAAAGTACGCTCATCCCTTACAACTCATGCACACATGTATTAAAAAAATTACCAAGCGAATTCTGCCCCTAGTGCACTTGACTTCCCCAAATTGAGAATATGAGGTACGAGTTTTGCTGTTAATTCAAATAATATTTAAATAAGCAAACAATGCTATAAGTCAGCAAATTGAATTTCCCAAGCCCAAAACAAATAAAAAGAATTATATTGAAAATCAATCTAAATTGAATTGTAGTTTAAAACTTTGAAGTATGCCACACCTGGTTTTTTTTTTTTTTTTTTGAGCAATTTATGGAATAATGACTGATGATATTTTTTTACCATTTAAAATAGAGCAATAAGGGTTTAAGTCTTGTTGGAACAAAGCAAGTCTACCATCCAAGGAAAAAAAAATTTAAAACTTGCGATGTCAATTAAAAATATTGATTATTACCCACTACAAATTGGTATTTATACATTTAGAAAATGAGCTATAATATTACAAAACTTGTTGGGCATCTTACAATTTTTGTATCAATGTGTTTCAAACCATGGAGTGACCTTTTTAAAGTGTGCCGAGCAGCAGGTTGTACATGACATCAAACTCCAAATTCTCCTGGACTTTTGCACCATAGAAAAAAAATCATGTAATAAAATCTCCAACATCTTGTAGCTTGTTTATACAAAAAATACTCTTAATCACTTCCATTCTATCTTGACATTCAATACTGTACCCAGACATACAAAATAACAAAATTTGATCCTAGTGGTCTTAGATGCACGCACAACCAAGGTATTAACAATTTTATCTCGACCATTCTTAGTTGCACAAACCTTTCACAAAAACGAGTATCACACAGGCATATAAGACGGTGACCCACCCTCCACTAGGTTCTTCTTCCTGTGAAAGATGACGCTGAGGTTAGCCAAAAATACTTTTTTCAATGCAGGATGTTTTTCTTTTTCCAACTTACGAACTCCAATGATCTCTGATGGATTATGCTTTTGAATCAGGTAGTTGTGGGGGGATGATTGTGATGACTCTGTTTCTGCCAGAATCCGAGATGCAACTTCAGCAGCCTTCTTTTGCTCTCGTTCACGCCATCTTTGTAGCTCTCCCTCCACTGCCTTCTTAGCTGCCTCAGCCATCTCAGCTCTCTTCACTGCATCTTTTGCTGCAGCTTTCATTTCATCAATCTCCTTCTGAGTTCCCTCTAGTCTCTTGTGGGCCTCATTTTCACTAGCTTTCACAGCTTCTACCTGAGCCATTGCAGCAGCCACTTTCATTTCTGCTAATTTGTCAGATTCCTCAACTTTCCGGCTTAACGATTCAAATTCTTCTCTTGATATTGTGATTTGGGCACCAAATTCAGAGGTTGAGGCACGTGCTGCATCAGTTCTCTCAGACAATATCTTAATTTGATCAAGGGCCCTTGCTTCGGCAGCCTTTGCCTCTTCAGCTTCCTCCAATGCAATTTTTAGCTTATTCTCTGCCTCTTCTAGCACGATTCTAGTGGCTTCAGATTCCTCCTTCAGCTCTTCAGCTTTCTTCTTCATCTCTTCTGCTTCATGTTTTGCATTTTCACTTTCTGATGATAGTTGGTGGAAGGCTGAAATCATTTCTTCAGAAGCAACTCTTACTCTGGATTCTTCAGAAAGGGCTGCTTCAAGCTCAGACTTACTTTTCCGGAGCTTGACATGCAGATTCCCCACAATAGATTCAGTTTCTGCTTCCTTCTCCTTCAGTTCAGAATGCTCTTTCTTCACATTCTCCAGCTCCAGCTTCAAGGACTCCATCAAGCTTCGGAGGGAACCTTCTCCTTCTGCTACTTTATGCAATGACTCCTTAGCATAATCCAGCTCTTCGGTGACAATTTTTAAAGAATCAAGATCTGACGCCTTTGTGTTTTCCACATCTTTCTTCAGAGCTCCAATCTCAGTGACCGTTTCAGCCAGCTGTGCCTCAATATTCTTGGACAGCTCAGGATCAAACTCTTTTTTCAAAGCAATCAATTTTTTTGCTGACTCTTCAAGTGTGGTTTTATATGACTGCTTTTGAACATTCTTTTCAGCATATATCTTTGCTTGCTTTTGCTGGGCTTGCTCAGTTGCAAGCTTCACCTGACCAATTGATTCCTGCACAGTGGTAATTTCCTTTGAAAGCTCACCAGCTCTCTCCATGTTTACTTTGGCTTCCTGCTCAGCTTCTGCTGCTTGCTTGAAGGCAGCAACTTTTGCTTCCATGGATGCATCATAATCCTGATGGATTTGTCTTAACTCTTGTTTTGCAGTATCGAGTTCAGCAATTGCAGACATGTAATGCTTTCTTGAACTTTCTAAATCCTGTTTCCAGTCACCATCAGTACCCACAGGATTGCCACAGTTGGCTTCTCTAAGTTGTTTCACCAGATCTCTTGAAGCCTCTGTTGCCTTGATCACTGATTCTTTTGATTCACCAACAATATTCAGCTTCTGTGTAAGATCATCAACTGTTCTTTTAGACTTTACAAGGTCTACAAGTGCTTGGGCTTTTGTAATTTCAGCATTCTTCAGCTGCTCCTTCAACTTGCTCAACTCTTTCTGGGCCAAGTGAAGCTGGGTCTCTTTCGCCAATACCTTCTGCAGTAAAACCACCAAAGAAAAACAATTATATACTATAAAAGGAATTCGATAACTAATTAGAAGATAGTAGCTAAATGTCATTTATAACTGTAACTAATTAGAAGCCAATAATTTATGTCAAAGTAATTTACCCAATTATTTGCTAAATAAACAAGTCAAACCAGGCCAAAAGAAAAAGAGAAGTTAACCAAAGTAATATTCCATGAATAACCTCCTGTATGCAACGTAATTAACTTGTTTTTTTTTATTATTTTACTTGATTTAGGCAAACAATGAGAATAAAAACGCTCGACTCATCTCTTGCATCAAAATGCCATTAACCCATACCATGACAGTTTTTTGGCACTTAGTAGCATAAAGAGTGACAATTTTACAAATGCTTGATGAAGAAAACAAAATAGTCACTCATTAAGCAAAAATGGGAATCAGGTGGAACCTTTTGACAGAAAAAAAATAATAATAATAAAATAAAAAAATAAAAATAAAAATAAAAAAATGAAAAAGAAAACATAAAAAAATTGAAAAAGAAAACATAAGTACACACGCTTACTCAGATCTCTAAACTCCATGAATTTGTAACAGTATTTGGATGTATCAATTCAGTAAGATTCAGAAAATGGAATCTTAAAATGACATAAATAATAATAATAATAATAATAATAATAATAAAAGAGCACTACATGCAAATTTTACACTGTCCAGAATGGCCAGTGATAAGTTTAATTCTCCATCTTCTCTTGCTAACTTAATAATTACTCCATTTATACACTCTTTCAAATATGACCATTGTGACACAAAATTGCCTGACTTAAACAAATGAAATTAATATCCTTCAATAGTCAGCAATAATGTACATTATGACACCCCCCAAATTTTTTGTAGGACGAGTGCATTTTCTTAGATACAAACAGTTCATGCACTTAACAAAAGACAGAATTAAACTCAAAATACTGAAAAATACTGCCATGTGCTTTTAGTCCTAGAAGCAATATACTCAGCTCCATTGGATACGAAACAATTGAGCTTCTCAAGAGTTGTCAGTGACCGCTTAGGGTATTATATCAACATTAGAAGAAGATTGGTACTTCTAACAAACATATCCTGTTACAATATTAAAAGCAACTGTCAGAAATACCTCTGCAGAATGGGATTTTGCCTTTCTAATGGCAGTTTTTCCCCCCGAAAAAGCACCTTCACCAAATAAATTGACGGCATCTTTGACAGATTGAAATGGTGCCCTGGTATCTATCTCTCCAACCTCCACTTTAGGAGAGCCTGCAGCACCTTGGTAGTCTTTGGCACTCATACTGATTTGTTTATCTAAAAAGCCCACCTGTAGATAATAATATAACCAAATGATCATTGTAAGCAAAGGAGCTTTGATCAACAACAATAAGTTTTCCTTTTCTTTTTATTTTTTCCTTTGGGTGTGGGGATTATTGATATATCTCCATGGAAGCAAACATTGATAAATTTTATAAAAAAAATCTAAATGAGCTAACAAATTTATATAGCATATTGGGTTTAATTTAGGCTCGAGAACAATTTAAGGCGCCGCCGATTCATGTAAGTGGGGCATACAATGAAGTAACATATATGAGTTCCACCTCACAGAATAAAAATTACAATAACATAACTTCTTCAGTTTTTGGTCAAGTAAACCCATACAAATTATATTTGACATTTTTAGAGTCCAATAACTCCTTTGAACTATATATGACAAAAGTTTTTCCAATAACTTCTTTGCTGAACTGGATTGTGGTGATTGACACTTTTAAGAAATTCTATGACACTAGAAGTCTAGAATGCATATTTTTGAAACCTGTGTTTCAATTCTGAAATGGAAAATGGTAAAAAAATAAATAAATAAAATAAAATAAAATAGATAGGCCTTGCATTTACTAACAGTTGGCCCAATTCCAATTGCCCCCATGATGTCCACATTGCAATGGGTGGTGCCACCCCATAGGTATTACAGTCACATATTTCAATACCACACACATAAGGCAATGAATTCTAATTTTTTTCCCAGTCAGCTCTAAAAAAGGTGGAGTAAAGTAAATTGGCTGAGAGTTCTTAGGAACAACTCAGTCAGTGATTTTGTAGTTGTTCTGGAGAGAAACCACCATATCTTCAATTGATAACATAAAGTACCTCAATATCACTGAGTTGTCCTATTATTCCGTACAAAGTTAATCAAGTGAATCCTTCACGCATGAGAGTTTTGCAAAGTACATTTAGCTACAACCTTATATATTACAACAAATTAAGCATGAACAAACATACAGAAATGCGACCTACCATCTTAAAAGGCATCCAATTTGTTTCCGAACCAGGTAATAACTCTCAAGTCAATAAAGCCTTTTCCCAACTATTTGGGGTTCAAATTTGACAACCAAAAAAATTAAAACTGGTTTTTGTACTCTCTCTCTCTCTTTTTCCCCCAAAAGTTCAAGCAAACACACACACCCACTATATACTTTTACCCACCTTCTCAAAGGGGGAGGAGAGCTTATATCTAGGCTAGAGCCCATTGGGGTGTGTGTGTGTGTGTGTGTGTGTGTATTTTTACAACTACTTCTGTGCCTTTTCTGGGGTGCACAATATAAATAGATATGAAAAGCATTTTAATTTCATTTGTGAGTTGTTGTAAAAAGTTTCAAACACAACTTAAGATGAAGTATTTCAGTGCAAGAAACATGGCATGGACTAACATACCTATAATCCTGTATAACTTCCACCAAATGGACCAGATATTATCCAATGACTCTTTGAATAGTTTTGACTTCAATGGTTGAAATATGCCAGCGCCAACCTTTACCTACAAACCAACATCAGATAATCCGAACTTGGAAGCTTTGTTCAATTCTCAATTTCTCATTGTTTTCAACAAAGAATTGATAAAACATACACATGTATATATATAAAAGAAAAAATTGTGATGAAAACAAAGGTTTCATTTACGCAATCAATCAGATGACCGGAAAATAACAGTGTCTCCCCAAAAAGAAAAAAAAAAAAAAAAAACTTAAGAAAAAGAAAGCGAAAAAAAAGGTCGAAAAGCAGAAAAAGAAAAAGAATCAAACATAATGATAACTTACTTAAAAACCCTAATAATGCGAAAGAGATGAAAGAAAAGCATCAAAACTCCTCGAAATCATCAAACTCCAAAATTCCAAAAAAGAGTGTTTCGATCGTCATAAATCTTGATGAACAGAGATAGATTATCCTTGATCAGCTGCAGTGATGTTCGTATTCTTTCGAAAGTCGAAACCCTTTTCGTATCTGTGGAAAATCAAAGAGAAAAGACGACCAAGAACAGTCCAAGACTCAGTCAAAAGCCTCCAAGAAAATTATGCTACATATAATTTCCCAACGAAAGAAAACATTTTCCTAACGCCTTCAGATGATTTTGAAAAAACACTTAGAAATGAATACCTAATAGATAGGAGTTCTCAGAGAATCGAGAGTTTCGAAACGGTAAAGAGAGTTGAAGTAGAGAGAGAAACTGGAGGAGGGGGTTTTGAAAATTCGAAAGACGTCGCAAGACAAAAGTTACACTCCGGGTGTTTATAATAAAAGAGAGAGAGAGAGAGATAGAGGGCTGTGCCAGGTCAGCAAATATCCAATAAAAATAGTGGTTTTTTTTTTTTTGAACAGTCTTTTCAAAACCGGCTCAATTACAATTGTTATTCAATAATTTTTTTTTTTTCATTGACAAATGTCTCATATGTCCCCCCTTTATGAACCTGAACCCTAGCTCGGAGGGAAGTAAAAGAGATATCCCTAGACCTTTGATTATTAAATCAATTTAAAATGGTAATCCTATTTTACCAATTTGTATATACTTGGTTCCCATCTTTCATATTAAAATGGCTCAATATGAAAATTTTTCTTCACATAATATGTTATTTATATTTTTTTCAAATTAAAGAATTAGAGTACACATAGTTCAATTTGATTCGATTTTTGAATGAACCAAAACTATTCAACAATTTTAAAAATATTAGAATCAAAATAAATTGTTAGAACTAGTGGAACCGAACTGAACCAAACCAAACCGTAATGTTCAATTTGGTTCAATTCGATTATAAAGTTTTTAACTTTCTTTTATATATATATATATATATATTAGTAAAATTCACGTGCGATACACGTGGTAAATTGATCATTGAATAATATAAATATAATAATAACAAGTAACGAAATTTTATATAATATAATAGTAGTAATAATAATTATGTTCATATATGTGATTAAAAATCATATAAAATCGTAAGAGTATATATATATATATATATATATATATATATATATATATATATATATATGTCTAAGTAGTTAAATAAAAATAATTACAACATATACAAAGTACAGACACAATTTGGTGTTTTTTAGAATTCCAAACTAAATAGGAGTTAACAATTATAATAATTGTTGGTAAAAAAAATATTTAATGTAAAGTATTTTATAACTTATTCAAATTATTGTATGCAGATACATATAATATATATATATAGTTTACACCGACTTTATCCTTACCATGATATATGTGTGTGTGTGTGTGTGTGTGTATTTGGGAAAAAAATTTAATAAAGGTCATTTAGCTTTGAAAGGTGTTAATTCTTGATTTTAATTCATATAAAATAATTTAAAATCAATGAAAATGTATATAGATCGAAATATTCAAAAGTGTACCAAATGATGTGTATTGAGAGAAGGAAAAGACTTGTGATTTAGGAAAAATAATAATAAAGATAATTTAGCTTTAAAATATATTAATTTTTTGTTTTAATTCATATTAAATAATTTAAAATTAATGAAAAGTATCTTCTTTTTTTCCTAGTTAATGAAAAGTATCAAAATAATTTTTAAAATTCTTATATATATATATTTTTCAAAAATAAAGTGGTTACACTTTGACCATGTAAGTAGTATAAGTGGTATTCAATATTGGCAACTCAAGTGACACAACTAATTGTAATAAATAATAAAATTTAAATATATGTTAGATGAAGTGATATAAGCATTGGAGGAATAATAATAAGCAATAAAATTTAAATAAATATGTAAGAGATACATATAAATAAAATAGATAGATGTATCATTCAACTATTCAAGAGCGTATTCATTGAAATAAATAAAAAGTGAAATAAAAAATAGATAGATGGGCAACTCAAGTGGCATAACTATTATTTTCTATTTTTTAAAAAATAAAAAATATTAATAAGGTATGAATCATAAGGTGATTTAAGGGGTTTACACTTTTAGAATAGTATAAATACATAGATAGATTAAATTGGTGCTTTTTAGAATTCAAATCTTAATTGGAGTTAACAATTATAATAATTGTTAATAAAAAAAATTAATGTAAAGTATTTAATGAAAATTATTTTGTAATTTTTAAAAACCTAAAAATGTTAAGAAATTTGAGGAAATAAACATTTTATATTATAAATAAATTTTAATCAAAAAAAAATTCAAGAAAAATAAATCAATTAACACTATCAAAAAGATTTGCAACTCAACGTAATAATTACCATTTAATCAAAGACAAAAGATTGGAATGTATTTATCTAATTTAAATATTATATAATCAAATCCAAATCAAAACTTGATACATCCAATCTTAAAAATGATAAAAAATAATAATAATAAAATAGAAAAAAATATTTATATCAAACCTATATAAGATTTTTTTTTTTTTTTTTTTTTTTTTTTTTTTCCTTAGTTGGTACTCACACACACGTCTCCATTAAGACTTGAACAACTAATCATCCTTTTGAAAATTTAAAATTATAACCTAAATATATAGAATTATTATGTATAATTAACCATTATTCACTTATTTTAAGTAAATATTAAATAATCTCTTACTAAAATAATCCATTTCATAGCTAAATTAAAACTTACAAATATGGAATTAGGATTTATAATTAACAGTTATATTAAGATAGAGTTATTAACATGTTTAAGCATATAAAAATTGTAACAAATAAATTATTAGCATCCCTTCTTGGACACAAAGTTCAAAGATAATCTCATTAAAAGAGGGAGAGATACTTATTCCAGAAGTCGAATCAAACAAATTAGAAATCTAAAAGTCTTAGGGCCTGTTTGGAGGCCCATATCTGTTATTGTTTTCATGTTTTGGTTTCATTTTTGGGCCAATATCATGTATGGAGTGGGTTGATGTGGTATTGAACAGTGTAAAAACATTATGAGATTTGGGCCAAAACCCATATCAAAGAATTGGTGATATTGGGTGATATGGTTTACTGTAGCGACCATACCAACCCAAACCAAAACCATATCAACCCTCATTTAACTGTAGCGGTGATATCAAGTATAAAAAATCGCATATCAGAACCGAGCCATTTTTCATCGTCATTTTCTCTCTCATCGCGTAGCTCCTTTGGAGGCGATTTCATGGGCAATTGTTTTTCGTTTTCGTTACACCTTCGTTCCTAGGCTACAGATCAATCAATCCTCCCATACTTGGTTTTCAGCTCAATCGTCTCTCTGTTATGTATTTGTGTGACCCGAATCTGAAACCCTAGATTGTTCTTCATCATCATTTTCTCTCTCATCGCGCAGCTCCTTTGGAGGCGATTTCTGAAGCCGATTGTTCTTCGTTTTCGTTACACCTTTGTTGCTAGGCTATAGATCGATCAATCGTCCCGTACTTGGTTTTCAGCTCAATCGTCTCTCTGTTAAATGGAGTGTGACCCGAATCTGAAACCCTAGAGTTTTTCGCAACCATAAATCGACGCTTCTTCTCTGGAAATTTCTATTGGTCATACATTCTATGTATCGATTTCGTCAAGGGCGATTTTTTCAGGTGCTCTTTCTTTCTCTCTCTATATATATATGTATACAGTAACAAAATTCCAGATTTAGTTCCATAACTATAGTTCCACAATTCCATATTCTTTCAGTAGCAAATACAGTAGCATAATCCAGATTTAGATATAGTTTTATTCTCTGCAAAGTGATGAATAATTCTGTGTAAAAAGAAATGGGAGTGCATAATTTCATAACTCAATTTTAATTTTATAGCTAAAAAGTAAAGCCTATTTCAGCAACTTATGAAAATTTATAAAGTATCATTCAAACCAATTATTTGGAAATTTAGCCTTTGTTAGTAACTGAGATCATATAACATGTTTAGAAATATAAATTGTTTGATTCAATTAAATTAATAAATTAGAAATAAGCATGAGAATAAAAATAAAATACCTAACTTTATGTCATACAATCCCTATCCGGCCTTATTATATTGTAATTAGATGTGAGATTTTTGTATCCTCATATTTTATACAATTACCAAGCACAATAAAATGTGAGATTATAAGTTGCATTACCTTGAATAAGTTGCATTACCTTGAATCTGATACGTTGAGAGAGTTTTAAGATTTGAAATCATATACTTTGACAGATGTAATATAATAATTCTCGTCTGTGTAATTTGAAGGTAGAAAATTTAAGAACAATGTAGGTTTGGATCGTGATTACTGTATGTTGTTCACGTGTTTGGTTTTGCATGAGGTCATTTACACTCCAAATTTGCAACATAGCCTGAAAAAAGGTTAGATATATCTTGCTTAATACTGTTAAATTACTTCATTTCTACCATGTGTTATTTTGTTTATCTCTAATGTTGTTCATGTGTTTGGTTTTGCATGAGGTTATTTACACTCCAAATTTGCAACTTAATGTTAGATATATCTTGTGGTTGTTGGAATAGTTTAAGAGGAAAATAGGCAATTTTACTTGGATTTGTGGATTAATTTTGTGGGCGGTATCCCTTATTAAATTGATTGAATAAATTTTGTGAGCGGTGTCCCTTGTTGAAATAATTTTGTGGACGTTGTCCTTTGTGTTTATTGTGATAGGTTCAATTTTGAAAATGTCTATTTTTAAAGGGAAACCATGCCGGATTTTCGAAAAAAAAAAAAAAAAAAAGGAATTTAAACTTTGATTCCAAAAAGGCATGTGGTTGATTTTTTAAACTTGAAATGGATTTTTGAAATATATAACAGTAGAAAAATGTGAAATATATAACTGTGAAACATATAACAAATTTTCAAGCTTAGTAGAATGCAACTGTTTCATGGTGGAGTTGAAGGACATGGTAGTAAGTTATGGGCAGTGGCACCGATGGGATTTATAAGAAGCATTCTCCAGTTGTTGCAACTTCAGGAAGCTGGTGATCTCTGACTTAAGCAAATGGAGGCTTATGAAAGTATAAAGAAGTGTGTGTACATTTTACGGAATGAATTTTAGTGATTTCTAGATGTAGGTGTGTACATTTTATGTAAGTATAATGAAGTGTATATGTACACACAAACTAATTTTAAGGAATGTCTAACTCCCTATACGTGCAAGTATATATGTGAATGGTGCAACAACAATTTATTAAGTTTGTGATGTACCAAAAAAACTTGTCATTTCATGTCTAGCTTGTGATGTCTAGCTTCCTTGATTGCTTGCTTCTAATAATATTCTTATTTATCATTTCTAATTATGGTTGGAGATTGTATGAAATATTCAGAAGTTGGTTATCAAAATAAATACTCAGAAAAAGAAGAAATGGTCTCAGGAGTTAATAATAAAAATATTAACACTTTGAAGGATCTCTAACACAGAATTTCAAACTAATCTCAGTGAAGTAAACCCATTCACAAGCTTCAATGTCCACCAAGCCTCAACTCTGACCAATTCAAGAAGATCAACGTTTTGGCTTTACTTCTTGTTAGTTTCAACTATAAGGATCTCTCTCTATCATTCATAATGAATATATATATATATA